GTCATTTACCCGATTACTTGTTTTGATTTTGACGGGCAAGGGCGCGTGTCTAACTTACCTGAACGGCTATTCTTCAGTCCAAACCGTAGTTTGGATTTTACATAAGACGCTTTTATAAAATTTCAATTCCATCTCTCGAACTGATTTCGTGGCTCGCTTTCAGATACATTTTAGAGTATTTCCATCCCTTCGGAAAGAAGGAGGAAACGCTATGCTTCTATAGTCTAGATGATGTAGAATAAAGCTACTAAAAATTAAGCGGAGGGTTCTATCGTCAGACTGGCCAAAAATGAGCTGTCAAGTTACTAGTGCAACGTTTCTTCTATAGGCATTTTTCACAGAATAAGACTTTGAACTATAAGATATGAATGAAACTCAATCTTTCTGAACCCACAACTCCTCTAGGATGGAATCGCTTAAGTTGTATATGTAGTTTATACCATGTCTCAGAAGAACTAATTTACACTGTAGCGGTAAATAAATCCCCAAAATAAATAGCTCTAAGTTTTCGACATTGGATGCGAAGTAGGACATTCTGTGATATTCCCAGGCTCCTTATCCGTGATATGAGTTGTTTATGTTGTAGATATTTCTATCGTATGGGTATTATTTGTATTAATTATTTAAAGCAACTCGTCTGTTTTGTCAAGCAAACTTGCTGCCTTTATTTATAAGCTTCTGATACTTTCAACTTGAAAAGTAGCCTCCATTTTCGAAGACAAGTAAGCTACCTTCATAAGCCGTTGCCAAGTATCTCTACCTTTCATGGACGACTCGACCACTTGTTTGGTCAAGACATACCTAAGCATCAAAATTCGTGTCATGTATTTCCACCCTTGAATATCGTAGTCTAAATTGTTAGGATCTCTGTTATCTAAAATACCATACACAATGAACGTCTCAAGAGATTCGTTTGGTATGTTCCAGGTTATATAGCGTCATAATATGATATATTTAGTAGTATTCTCACATCATCCTCATATTTCATCAGGTGACTGGTGAAAAGAACACTACCCAAGTCGGAGGAGTAAGTGAACGTTAAGCTAAGAAGTCATGGAAGCTTTGTGTGTTTAGGATCCGTCTACTGGTAAATCATATGACCTTTAACAGATCGATTTTACGAGTTTTAAGCTTGTTTAAACCTGTTGATTTTGTTATTAAGTGAAAGGAAATTTGGGGCAGTCTTTTAGGTTCATGAATGCAACATTAGCAAAACAGCGACATCATGGCATCGCAACACATTTTGCTTCACTTTCTTATTTCGATGTTGTGGATTGTCAAATGTCTTACTTAATTTCAAATAGATTTGAAAAGTCAATTTTTGATTCCAAGATTTTGTGCAAAGGAGATTTTCTTGTGGGGGTACGTGACATCTTGACGTCCTCAGAAACTTTTTAAACAGGTGCTGCCAGAACAGTTTTTCCACAATAACATCACCGTGCAGAATTGATTGACATCCATCAATACCCTAGTAGTAAACTAATGATTTAGTTTTAGACGGAGTAACCTGAATAAAGCATTTGTGTTCACTAAATTGGTTTTATCTGCGCGACAAACAACGAAGCCATGATAGGTTTACATGTTGTCTTCGTTTTTGCGATTTCAGGTGTTTTTGACCATTTTGCCCCACTTTTATGCTAAAAATATATTAATAAGGAAGATAATTAGCTTCTTTTATGATTGTGATTGTTATACATCTGCTCCCGATGATAATAACTACTACTGAGTTGTGTATATTACCCTCCCTGGTTCGAAATATACGTGACTAGATCATGATATTGATCTGACTAATGACCTTTCTACTTTCCAACAGTTAGTACGTATAACACTGTCTGTAATGGTACGACATGCTTATCTGGCGTATATGGATTGTCATTGCACATGGAGTAACTGTTGAAATTTACTTAGAAATTTGCAAACTGTTTTAGAACCCTTTCAGGAAGTTGGTTTGAAAGTACGGCCATAGGAATGTTTTCTGTTGAGGAAGGAAGTTAAATTCCAAGAACATGTCACTGACGACCGAGGAATACACACCGATGTCATTCGAAACGGGGTTGTTCTACAAAATACAACTGAACTCTGAATACTCAAAGATTTAGCAACTCATTATAAAAGGTTTGTACAAATATTTTCAAAGACTGAAGCTCCCTTCGTGTCTAGATAGAAAAGGAACGAAGTGAAAAATGCCATCAACTTTTTGACCTGTTAAAGGACTTGTTGTGTTCGACGCTGGTTTCAGAACATACGGATTTTTTTCTCACTGCTTGCAGTTTCATTTTACACACCGATGTAAGTGACTAGGCTATCGGCGTAAGATACAAACTGAGGTTTGGACTGAAACATAGGTGAGTTAGATACGCGCCGTTGCCCGGTTGAAGCCAAAACAAAGTAATTGGGTAAAATGACGGTTTTAAAATTCATCATTGTTACCTAAACATTGTTACCCAAACATATACACCCAGCTACTCAACCAATTAATCAAGTCTAAATTACAATAAATAAGAAGTTTGATAAAGGATAAGAGAAAATTATCAACCACAACAAATAAATGCTATTCTATCCTGTCTGGATGGACCACGCACAGATTCGTTCGAAAGATAATATTTGGTTGCCTTATAACACAGGGTTTCCAATTCTGGAAGAGTGCTTCAATTCCCAATCAAAAGTGCACAATTCGAGTCAATGTAAGCAACACAATCAAAGAAGAAACAAAATCAGTATGGCTTCCGCTAGGACTAAGTATCAACTAAAACAACATGAATGCAGTTCAGGAAGAAACACGCAAATTTAGTGAAGGCGTAAGAAAAAAATAAAAACTATAATAAAACACAAATATTAACAACTCAAATGGAAAAAAAATGTACAACTGAAGGAATCAATAGGAACAAACTGCAAGTGTATACATGGAGGGATTTCCATACAAAAAACACTCAAAATGGATCTTACAGTCGATGCTGTATTGCTAAAAGTTTCTTCAGACGGAAAATGAGTTGTTGTGTCTGGAAGCCGAATGTTAAATAAGTTGAAGAATAATCATTGTACAAGACGATAAAAGATGTTAGCAGTCGTTCAGTCCCAGTATAATTTACTAGGACGTTAGTTTGTTATTAGAACTGATCATAAAGCTTCTATATGATTACAGAATTTTAGAGATCTGGACGGGCAATCGCTCTATGATGAGAGTGCCTACAAGGATATGACTACGAATGCATCCATCAGCTCAATAGACGGCGTCAGAATCGGGTGACTTATCACGCAGAGCAAATTAACCACATGGAAACTATTTTGCGTGCGTCCCACCAGCAAGAAATATAATAGTGTTGAAAATCACGGGAGATACTGAACGGGCATATATTTAGATAATAGATCCGGAAACTTTAATAGTTTATTACCTGCTGAAAACTAGCGTTCATGGCTATCTTCAGAAGAAATTAAATTCATGAGTTTGGAGGTTATCTGTGTATGATTCATGTGGAAATTCGTATTAATAATGGATGGAGTATTATGTTTTCGTTACAGATCATACTGTTCGGGATAACCGGTAGTTCCATAGTCTATGTTCTATGATGTCTTAGAAAAATTACATGTGGTTTCGGGTCATGGAGGCCAAAATAAAATTATGGGGGCCGTCAAAAGTAGACGCTGATAGCCAGAACGATGGGGAGACATATGAAACTGTGTTAGATCTTTTAAGATATGTCAAATTACAGAGATGATTCGCGTGCGTCCTTAGTAAATGTGAAAGCAAGTCAGTCGAATGAGATAGTGTAAATTGATATTAGTGGGTCATTGGGGAAACCAACCTAGGGAATGAATATATTTTAGTTATGGTTGATCACACTACGAGGTGATGAGGTATGATAACTCTAGAAAGTTTGAACGCTCAAACTGTAGTTGAAGCGGCATCTGACATATGGGTCTCTTGTTGGCATGCATCAGTTCAGTTAAATTCGGATAGGGTTATCAAATTTCAAGACACGCTTTTTCAAGATTTATGTCAAGTGCCTACATTGAGTTCAGCAAAGCCTTTGAAAGAGTTCCTCACAACCAACTGTTATATAAATTAAGAATTGTTGGGGTTGGAGGCAGTTTATTAATGTGGATAAAATACTACCTAGTTGGGTGCCAACAAAGAGTACGGGTGAACTCTGAGTTGTCTAGCTGGAAAACTGTGCTTAGTGGAGTGATACAGGGTTCAGTTTCGGGGCCGGTGTTATTCAACTTGTGTGCAAATAACCTTTTCCGTCTCCTGAACTCACCGGTCTTACTATATGCTGACGATGTCAAGATATGTAGAGCAATATGGAATAAAGAATGTAGTTAATGGTTTCAAAATTACCTGGAGAAATCATCTGAATGGTCTCACACTTGGCAGTTGCCGATAAATGCTTCCAGGTGTATTGCTGTGCATACTGTTCATCAAGGTACAGATACATGCACGACTGATAACAATGAGATACCCGTTGTCCAGACACACTATGTATAAGTATTCCTGAGTCCTAAAATTGGTTACTGCATTCAAGTCGCAAGCCTCATGCTTAAGAAAAGACAAAGGGTTTCTGGCAAAGGTACATAGAACAGCAAATAAACTGATTTCTGTAATAGCGAAGCTCCCGTATGGCCAGACCAAACCTATTGCCATTGTCATATCGAAGAACCAGAGGTGACTTGATTAAAGTTTCCAAATTAATCACTGGTAAATTTGCATATAATACGCTCTCGTTTTTCTTGTCTTCCAAAACATATCAGTTGCGGAGATACTGTAAAAAGGTTCATAGACTCATGGCGAAGTACTTGTCAGCTGACTATCGACCTTCCCATCGAATCATCAACGACTGGAATTCATTTCCTAAAGATGTGATTGAAGCTCCATTTGTCTACTCTTTCAAAAGAAAGTTGAATGAAAATGAGAGAACAACATTGCCAGGACTAACACAGAAGACCTAGCCTCCTGTTCTTTCCAAACTGAAACAGAATAACTGTTGACAAAAACACTGGACATTGAAGCTAGGCTCACTGTTTGAAGGTGGTTGAGACGTCAGTTTTACTCTTGATATGCAGTCAAATGTCGAGCGTTCTGAAACTGGAGGGAGAGTGAGCTATTCCAGAGCTGAAATTTTAGCTCTTTATGACTTCGGGAAGTCCATTCCTCTACAGGATGATGTGATTAAAAAATCTCAAGTAAGTTACTGATCAGTGTTCAATCAACTTATTCTTGTCTCATTTTTACCTGTCGTACCGTTTACAGTGCCTTAGTATATTAGCTGGGATTTGGAACGATGTCAGTAATCATTTAATTGACATCATAAACAAAGTCATTACCTAATCATTCACCCTAGTCATTTGATACCCAATCCCCCTATTTTGGGGGAAATTTTGTCTGTTTTGGGTTAATTTTTGAAAGCCGCAATAAAAGATTTTGGGACAAAGGTTTAAAACCCCTTAAGTTTACCCAGGTCCGGGGAAAATCCCCAAAATTTTTGGGGAAATATAGGGTTTTTCCCAATATTTCCACAGAATCTTATAACGCTGGAGTTTTTCCCCAAAGTTTGGGGAAAACTCCGAAATTCTCAAAATAGGGAGATTTGGCATGATCGTGGTATCTACTTACTTGTGTGTTCCGGAGTGACAGTAGCATCCATGTCATTCACTAAAAGCTTATTTTCAGTTATCTCCCCTAAAGCCTTCATTTTACGTAGATTTTGTTCTTCAGACTTCTGTGCAGCTCATTTTTTGACTAATTCGGATTATTACAAAGGCGGGAGTTAGCTTGTTACATAACCACGATAAAATGGTTTCATATGACATGTGTTGACTGACTTTCGTTTACTTGATTGGATTTCAACTACATCAAAAGTGCCTTTTTTAGGGTGTACTGTCATTGTTAATTAATTGCTTGTTTATACGACCCTTCACTACTTTTTATGACATCATTCCGGTTTCTGTGGCTCCGTCTTTTGCTATATTATGCTAATATCATATTGTATTATAAATATAAAAAAACACATTTTTATTAATAACCAGTTCCTCATTTTTCATGCGTAACGAATACTAATAACTAAATCTACCTAATATTGTGTATCATCTTTCATAGACTGGGACCCGTGGTATGTCAACTTTACAAATAATTATTTGGTTTTAAATTTAGCATCTCGATCTAAACCCCAAAGAAAAAAGACTAGTTATTCACAGTCAAGCGATGGAGACGCCCAAAAGTATGTGAATGTTCATCTATATGTTCATATCTGTTTTCCAGTTCGTATTTTTAGTGTTACCATTTTTCATACTACCGCTGTCACTGGGTGCACAGCTTATTGGAATACGAATGTAGTTTTCTTATTTTAGAAAGTATACGGATGACTAATATCTTCGCCCATATATGTGAACTAGAATAGTCAATAATATCATTAGGATAACGTGAAATTAATTCTTCTGTTAGTGTTGAAGACTTCCAACTACTGAACCAAGGTGAACATACATTGTGTAAACAGTTAAGGACTTCGAGTTACCATTGTATCACACTAGAAGGTTGGTGTTTTCCATACAATTTGGGAACTCCTTATTGCAATTTTAGAAAATTATATTGATAAAGCTTCTATTATTACACTGTTTTATCGAGTTTTGGATTAATATAATTAAAGTAAACTAAATTAACCCATTCACCAAGTAATTGGGTATGAGTCGCGCTCTAAGTATCAGGGCTAATGTCACTACTCAGTTGCTTAAACCGAAGTTGATGGAGCGGAATTGGAACTTGGGACTTAGTGACCGGGAGTGGAATGTCTTGATCATCAGACCACTGCTCGTACTAACATCAGATTTATTTATTTATTTTAACACATATTGGTACAAGGAGGCACCAAATACATATGCGCCACACAAATCTCATTCGATATGTGTGAGGGCTGTGATACTGCCCGGGTTCCCGAACCAAAGCAGGTGGTTTTTTTAGGGGGCCACTCCCCGAGCCTTCGACCTGAAGGTCTGATCCACAAGGCAGTATAGCATCGTAAGGAGATGCAGTCCCATGGTAGCCGGTGACCAACGATTGGTTCATACGCCATTTGTTCCCGCAGGATACTGGTGCCCATGTGCACCATTGGTTTGGAATCCGGTTAAAGCGCCGGACATTCGCTTTTCGTCCTCTCATTTTCGTAAACAACATTAATGCCACGAGAAGGCAGTGAGTAGGACTTCCCTGACAGAGGCTATATACGTGTGGCCATGTGAGAGCATTTCGAGAGGGAGAGCGGACTCTCCCCACTATCGGCCATACCAGGGCATTTGGGTGCACTAACATCAGAAGTAATAACTAAACGGTTTCTTCGTTCTGTCTACTGCTAACTCTGTCTTCAATGTTGCCCGAGTTATAAGGTTAGCACCACGTTAATAAAAATGCACTTTGAGAATCCAGATAGTAAATAAAATTATTGTTGATGGTTTTATCAACATTTACAAGTTCTGGAAGTTGATTGTATAAAGTCTTTATGTTAATGGTTGTTCTGAGTTTTGCAATGTTTCCTACTTTTTAAACCTTACTTTTAAGACTAAATATTCACGAAGCAACAATATATTTTCTAGGGCCAAATTTTCTCTGTGATAAAGAGGTGATGTATGGTGGGCCAATTGATTCATCCGTCAGATTACATTTGTATTGACCAAACTCCTAGTTTCCTTGGTCAAGCTGTAGGATTGAAGAACGTATGAGAGGCATAATGAACTGTGTTTCACTCTTAAGGTGTCTCCATTCCTACTTATCCAAGTTCTTATTATCACAAAGTCACGGAACAGCATTAAAAATAGTGGTTGTATGTGGGGACCACTTTGCCACTGAGACATGGTATAATCAGCAATAAAACTTCTTTGAACTGAAAACTGGTGTCATTTATACTGCTCTCCACCCACCCGACCGTCGTTGCTACCTCGACGTGGTGGTCGGGCTTGCCTATCGTGATGAACCAATCGAGCTATACTGGCTGGAACAACCGTTCCTCAAAGTCCTACCATGTCAGACAGGTCGGTTGATGAGCGGTAAGACTAAAAGCAACAAACCCAAGGTCCGAAGGCGAAGTCGTACTGCTGACTGTACAGAGGTGTGACAGCAGTAAGGTGTTTCCTTCAGACAACCAGCATCACAGCGATGCTGCCTTCCCACAAGGAGGGGTGGGGTTAGAAAAGGTAGACCTTAAAAATGCACATCTCACCCTATCCCACGGATATCCGTCTCCGGCGGTAAGGTCTCAACAAGTACGGAGCTAACACGAAAATCACTAATTAAAAAGGTCGTGTGTGACCGACCTCAAGCAGTTGTCCGTTGGGCACTGCGGTCACGCCTCCAGGTCACTAAGACCACCTCTAATCCAATTTCCTTTTCCGGTACCTCCAGAACAACCCTTCCACGGTGTGGGAAACCAGGAAGTGATAACCGTCCTCATGCTTCCAACAGCACTCAAGATCACTGTATCCATAATCAACCTCCCTCTTCACCCAGCACGTCTGGCTCTGTGGAAGTTCAAGGGTAAAGTGTTACAAGTAGACTGTTATTGATGGTATCCAGTCAACGGACATTGAGTATCTTGCGTAAACAAATCTTTATAAATACTTGTACTTCCTTCGTAATGGTTGTGGTAGTTCTCCAATAGAACTGTCTTGACGTTTGTATTGAAGATTCTGACTTTGGTGTTGACTGATAGTTATTTTGAGTTGCATATGTTCTCCAACTGTAGAAATACTGCCCTTACTTTGTCAATCCTTGCCTTTATATATGCATCACACCCTCTTTGTTCATCGATGATGATGCTCAGATATGTGAGTTTCCACTTGTTCCACAGCTTCTCCATGAAGTGAGATTGAGTTGGTGTTCCCTGTGTTGTACTTGAGGATATTGGTCTTTCACTTTGTATATTGTAGCCTACTGCTGCAGAGGCTGCTGCTGCTACACTGACTATTTTCACTTAGATTTGTTGGTGTACAGGGGGTAGGAGAGCTAGGTGATCAGCCAATTCCGAATCGTCTAGTTTCATATGATCCGTGTATTGTATTCCGTGCTTCCCATGAGATGTGGAAGTCTTCATGATCTAGTAGACCGCCACCAGGAGAAAGAGGGACGGTGAGAGTAAGCAACCTTGTCTGACACCGGTCGTCACTTGGAATGCATCTGTGAGCTGTCCTCCATACACGACTTTTCAGAGTAGTCCGTCATAAGAATTGATGAGTCAATTAAAGTTTATCCACATGTGTTGATAATCTTCTCAGGTACTCCATAGTATTGAAGATGGTTCCATAATGTTCTGTTATCAGTAGTGTCAGGTGCTTTCTCATAGTGAAGGAAGTTGATGAATAGTGCCGAGTTCCATTCAAATGACTGTTGAACAGCGATCCGTATTGTTGTGATTTAGTCGGTACATGATCGATTCGTACGAAATCCAGTCTATTAATCTGGAAGTTGGACGTCTATTGAATCTTTCATGCGGTTAAAGAACACTCTGTTTGAAACATTTCCTGATACTGATAGTAGTAGTGTAATGTCTTTGTAGTTCTCGGACTTACTGAGATCTGTTTTGTTTACTATATTGATGAGGTGTCCTTTCCAGTCTGTCGGCAATTGTTCCTCCTCCCAAACCTTCCTGAATCGAACACGGAACATCTGTGCAGTTATTTATATGTCTGACTTGAGTGTTTCAGCTAGTATGTTATGAGATCCCGCTACTTCTCCACTATTGATTTGTCTGATGACCATACTGATTTGTTTGGTTGTTGTTGCAGTGACATCTGTAGGAAGGTGTGTATGTGGTGGTTTGGTGTCTGGTGGTTTCAATGGGGTTGGTCTACCCAAGACTTCTTCAAAATGTTCTATCCATCTGTTCCTCTGTTCTTGAATCTCAGTGATTGTCTTGCCTTCATTGTCTTTGACTGGTCGCTCTGTTTTACAATATTTCCTTGCTAGTTTCTCAGTTGTATCATATTACTTACCTGCGCTTGTCACCCCTCGTGGCGGAGCATAAACCGCCTATCAGAATCATCCATGTAACTATATCCTGAGCAGTCATTTGCAGTTGTTTCCGATTGCGATTTATCCTTTTGATGTCTGCTTCCAATTCCCGATGCTGTGTTCCTTGGTTTTCCTCTTTCCATTTTGTCTTCATGATTGCTTATCTTGAAGCTTTATACACTGTCACTGCTAGATCTACGTATTTTTGCTCGATTATCACAATGAGCTGATCAATATAATGAGAATCCACTAAAATCATATAACTAACTACACATTGGAAGAATTAATACAACTGAAAACGCATTAGAAGTTAGCTGAACAAAAATCATTTTGAATCGATATGCCAATTTTAAGACTGATTTTCTTTCTCATACATCGTATCTGAAACATGTAGCAATATAAAAGTGTTAAAGTAAATTCTTCTAACTCCAAATACAAAATGCTGCTGACAACTTTCAGTGTGTAGTCAGATTAATATCAAGCATCGCTGTTCGATACACAAACCATTTTACTTACGAATTCCTATCTCTTTTTTTGTACTATTACTAGTCATGGATTACCACTAATTTATTGTACACCAATCAGTATTCTTTTTAGACAATTCATACATAACAATTTAAGCGAAATGATTTATAAGATTCCTCAATAGAATAAAATATTCCGACTCTAACCATGTTCAAGCTAATGTATTTGAATTTCAGGTGTTGTGCCTAAACTGATGTAAGTAGAATGGCGTCCAAACCCACAACCTATTTGTATAATAAAGTGATTTACTTAACCAACCCCAAAATCCAATCTATCATTGAGATATTTATCAACCTACCAGGGAAGAACTACACACTGCTTTCTTGCGGCATTACTGTTTTTTACGGAATTGAGAGGACGAAAGTCGAATGTCCAGCGCTTTAACCGGGTTTGTGGATACAGAGGATCCACATAGGAGAGTTGAACAACCCTCATTCCAAACCAGTGGTGCATATGGAATTCAGGATCGTAAGGAAACAAATGCCGTATGAACCAATTATTGGCCACCGACCACCATGTGATTACATCTCCTTACGTTGCTCCACTGCTTTGTGGATCAGACCTTTAGGTCGAAGGCTCCGGTCTGCGCACTTGGGCAGTATCCCAGCTATCATATAAATCGAATGATTTATGTGGCGCATACCTATTTGGTGCCTCTTTGTACCAATATTTATGTGTTCAAATAAATAATGTATCTAAAAGTTGCGGGCCATTTTCTGTTGTATTATTATTCCCACCTATTCGTATTAATTGGTTCATCTAATGTTTCTTTGTTTCCCTTAACTGTGTTCCTCGTACTAACTTCGAAATACCTGTTTCAATTCATTCTCCTGCTAGTTACTTAATCAGTCATTCCTTTTCCTCAAAAAGCACTTTATTAAATATATTCAGTTGTTGAGATGATGGTTTGCTAATAATTAGTAGTCAGCTGAATCATATTTCTATGTTAATTCTCACACTACTTTTGTGTTATAGAACTCATGGTAGTAGTGGCGAGGATCTAACTACTCAAGAAGTTGATCCTAATACCCATGGCTGGCATCGTATGAACCGTTACGCCGGGCATGCACAATCGGGTAGTTCTTCACACCATCCTCATCAGAGATATCCAAGTGGACCAACTGGGGACGTCGATCCTTCAATTCCCGTTTCCCAAGCAAATGGTCCCTTGCGTCCCACTAATGAAACAAAAAGAGGAGGGCATGGTGATTGGTCCCGAGGATGTGCTGGTTGGCGTCAACGTTCTTACAGTGGTAGTGAGCAATCTGATGTCTTCTATGTAAGTTCTACTCGTTCTCTACGTTAAATATCTTCAATGTTCCCTTGGTTTGGGCAACTAGTTAAGCTGACTTGTAAAATTGTTCTCCTAATTTTGAGTTATTCACTGAGTCCTGAACCGTCGTGATCTTAAATTCATTTGTGATCAAATATAACGCAATGAAAATGTATTACAGAGATAAGGTTGTTGGTATTTTGATTGTGTACCTCAAAGTGAACATCTGCAAGGTCCGAGTCATCCAGCTACGTCCAAATTCACCACTGTATACCCTGCCCTGAGATGAGGACGTCTCTATAATCGCTATGGATACAGATACTCGAAGACAACTGCGATACCATATACAATAGTTCAACTCGTTTCTAGCCCTCCAGCCACCCAAAAAGACAAATCTTGGTAAGAAGATTGATTGGAAAAAACGCATATCTAAGTTAATTTAATTATTATTAACTGCAGAGCTTTATCAACCGAATAACTGTCATTGAGCATATAATCAGTACAAGGACAATAAATTTAGAATCAAATAACTAATTACGACTGAAATGCACTGAAGAGGTTTAAATGAAACAACCTCAAATCGATATGTAAAATAAGGAGTTTTTCATCATACAATATCTGGATAAATGGTATCCTTAACAGTAATCCACTCAACAGCTAGCAAAAACAGGAAAAAAAATGAAACTAAGCAGCCTTGTTTGATAGTAATCATAATTTAGAATGCATCTGCGAGCTGCTCTCGATGCACAATTTTATAATCCGCTCCCTTGCAGAAGTTCTGTATAATAGTGATGATCTTTCGAGGTATTCCATAGTATCGAAGATAATTCCACAACGTTTCTCTATTCATGTTGTCGAGTGGTTTCTCGTGACAAAGGTAATCGATGTACTGCAATTCATCCCATTCAGATGGTTGCTTAACAATCATCCACAGTATTACAATTTGGTCGGTACTCGGTAGATCCTTACAAAAGCTAGCTTGTCGATTTCTAAGTTAGTCGTCTACTGAACCTTTGATTTGGTTCAGCTATACTGTTAAGAAATTTTCCTGGTACTGACATTCGTGTGGTTCTCACTCCTTCTAAAACCTTTGTTTAAGATCTTGATGAGCTATACATCTTTCTAGTCCGTTGGTACTTGTTACCCCTCCCATATCTTTCTGAAGAGAGTATGGAATGACTTGGAAATTACCTGTATATCTGAGTTTAATGCTTCTCCTGTAAGTTGTCTGGTCCTGCCACCATACCATTTCTAATTTGTCTGGTGGCCCTACCTGGTGTTACTTATCCCGACCTCGGTGTTTAAGCGTCCCATCGGGATGGTGGGTTCTTTTTCTGGATATTTCTCTAGGATGGACTGAAACCTCTCATTTAACTGGTCTTTATTATCTTCATTGTTAGTGCGTAGCAGTAGATGAAATTCACTTCAACCCTATACTTCTTTGTTTTGAAGAATGCTTTGATGATCCTGTGTTCACGAGCTTCCCATCCTATCGGGGCTTTTTGTGTTCTTTTGCAGAGCATCATTACAGTTCCTTGTATATGCAGTGACATTATTTTCTTCAACGTTTCTCCCGTAGCTTGATTTTTCTTTCTAGATTGTGTCCAATTTCACTTATTCCAAACAGAACTAGCTTGTATTTTTGCATTTCCTCTGCTATTTGAATGGCCCTTCCGGTCTATCACGTTCATACATCCCACTTCTTTATGTTGATTTTCATCCGGACTGGGAGAGAGGGTGTCAGCCTCGTGGTTTTTGAAGACTATCAACTTTCACCACTAGACTTCATGATTCTTCGATGTAGAGAGACCCATCAACTCTCAGAGCAGTGTTCAATTGTTTTTTTTCTGATCAGCAATTTCATGGTAGAGTTCCTTTTTACGAGTTGTCGTTGGTAACCCTATTTTCAGCCATCTTTTACCTGTGCTTGGGATTTGAAGTAGCTATAAAAGGGCTCCAGGTGGATTTACACAACTCACATCAACACAGAAAGACGAACTCTGTCTTTCTTCATTTAACTCCCTTGAATGTTCAATGACTTCGCATATTCACTTATTCTTCCTTCAGATTCATTGTTTTCCTTATAATTAGTTTGACTGCTTTCAAGAGGTTTGACAACATGAATAGATATTATGGTTCTTTGTTTTATCAATATACATGGCTGAATATCCTTGGTGGTATACTCAGTGTTGGTTATTTCCGTAATTAGAGAAACATGCGATCGTGTTTTACTTTCGACACTTATCACTGACTCAGCTCAACCTTTATGTGACCTTTTTTATTTGACTAATAATCGATGAATATTGTAATCTTTGTGAGGATTACGACTGTTACTCCTTTACTGATTTGTTGTATTTCCTACTATTTGCTGAGAGTTTGCGAAGATTATGTGGCTCGGTGGTATTACGGAAAGTGTTCGAATAGGATGAATGTATAAGAAAAGTAAGTCGTACTCATTAAGTTCCACTGACACTGCCTTCACTGGGACACCTATATTATAGAATCAAACGCAACCAAGCATATTATGTGGTTAAGTATGATAGGTAAAACATCATATATATTCGTATCCCTGTGTTTCTCCTCATACCACAGAAGTCTTTTCCATTTGTTCACTACTATTTTTTATCTGTAAATAACGACGCTTTTTCTGTTGGTAATTGAAATTATGGTTAAACGTTTTCATATTAAGCTGCCCCGGTTAACCGTTTCTCTCTAAACCAACAAATTTGTTTAGTATAACCACTCCAATCACCGAGGTCGTGGTAATGGGCATCCATCCAATGAAGTTGATGGAAATACGGGACGTGGACGTGGTCGAGGGCGTGGTTCAGGTCGTCAAGGTTTGACACATCGAGAACCTGTTGGTGGTCAGTCGCAAACTTCAGGCAGTAATGCTTGTCGACCTGCCAGTTGTTTAGTTGATACTCCTGGAGGGCAATTAGTTGTAAGTTGTCACCTTTTCAGGTGACATTTTTGTACTCCTGTATAATTTTTGATCAATTTTATTAATCGCGTTATTGAGACCATTCCTCATTCAATTGTCAAAATACCTTGCTGACTGAATTTTCCTTTTTAAAGAAGTCCTACAAATCCTAAATAGAATCCTAACACTTTCTTACTAATACTTTGGGTCTGTGGATGGTTGGACGACGAGATCTCAGGCATGTTCGTCAGTGTTATATTGGTGCACTATAATTAATTGGTAGTTTCTCGACCTCTATCCTTATCATTTCTCAGTTGAATAAAAAACTTAGTCTGCCGTTGAAAAAGTTCCTTTTATAAGTTAAACGAAAGTAGATATAGTTGTTCCGGTTGACGTTTACCTCCTAAATTATTTTTGTTTAAACAATCACCAAATAAAAGAATACTAAACGGTTGTCTTTGTCTGCTACCACCAGTATGAACCTTCATCAAAGTTCATGATAAAGCTTTATTCGTAATTTCAGTTTAGCGACTCAACATTTTCGTTGCGTACTAAATTTTCTGCTTCAGGGAATATCTGCACTTTTTACAAAATTTTCTCCGGTGACTAACCTATTGAAGTGTCTGATACTTTCAAGCTCTCGACTACATATGATTGGTCTGTAAAGGGATCTAGGCTGTACCTAGACTTGCGAATTTGCATCATGTTGTGTGCTAACATATTGTCAACAATAGTCAGGTCCCTCAATGAAGAATTTCAGGTGTAGGCAGCCGGGACTTGTCAATTACTCACATGCCAACATCAACCGGACCAATATTTCCTTGAATAAAATCTTTATTCTTTATATTTCTTCTATTCTTAATATCAACCGTCCCCTGGTCTGATTTCTTTTTCATGCGCAACCAGTAACATCAATCTGATCTTGTAGAATCCTATCCCTCATATCTTGGGACCGCCATCCAATCTTAGTGTTGGGAAGATCTAAATGTCTGGACCGTTTTTCAGATTCGACAACAAGCTTAGAATCTCACATAAGTGAGTTCCTGTTAACAGTCGCTTGTTTGTTATCGGATTAAATGGTACAGCAAGAACTCCGAAAGATAGTACACATTCCATTGATCGCAGCTTAGATAAAGTGAAATACAATTTCTATCGGAAACTTTCTGACATCTTGAGAGCTACAGTTCCAAGTGTAGCGAATAATTTTAACTCCTGTGTATGTAGGCTAAGTCAAACTGAAAAACATTTATATGAAACTATCAACATTCCTGGCCAGATAACAGGGAAAGTTTAGTACAATTGTATTTGCTTAGCAAGTAGTAATCGCAGGAAAATTGAAAGATCCCGTATAATTTGGCGACTGACGAAATCAGAGCGATAGGGATAGATGAACCTCGTTTCTAAAAGCGATCGTCTAAAAGACTGGACTGAAGAATCCCACCATTTCTGAAACATGTGTTGACGCCGATCACGCTACGGTCAGTCAGTCAGTCAGCTACAACGTAGGACCAGGCACATATATGCATCGGTTCAAGTTTCCATACCTCCTAAACACAACAAGATGGACACCAGATTCATAAAAGTAGTTAATTCAGAGGTGGTAATATGAAGGTTGATTATGAATACAGTGGTCTTGAGTGCTGTTAGAAGTATGGGGGCGGTTATCACTTCCCGGTTGCCCACACCGTGGAAGGGTTGTTCTGGAGGTACCTGAAAAGGGAATTGGATTAGAGGTGGTCTTAGTGACCTGAGAGTGTGACCGCAGTGCCCAACGGACAACTGCTTGAGGTCGGTCACACACGACCTTTTTAATTAGTGATTTTCGTGTTAGCTCCGTACTTGTTGAGACCTTACCGCCGGAGACGGATATCCGTGGGATAGGGTGAGATGTGCATTTTTAAGGTCTACCTTTTCTAACCCCACCCCTCCTTGTGGGAAGGCAGCATCGCTGTGATGCTGGTTGTCTGAAGGAAACACCTTACTGCTGTCACACCTCTGTACAGTCAGCAGTACGACTTCGCCTTCGGACCTTGGGTTTGTTGCTTTTAGTCTTACCGCTCATCAACCGACCTGTCTGACATGGTAGGACCTTGAGGAACGGTTGTTCCAGCCAGTATAGCTCGATTGGTTCATCACGATAGGCAAGCCCGACCACCACGTCAAGGTAGCAACAACGGTCGGGAGGTGGTAATGTATAAAAGAAAGATTGCGATAAGGATATAGTACAGGAAGAAAGAATTAGTTCGTAGAAAGAAAGATATGAAGCGATTTTAATCCCATTGTTTAAGGGAGGACAGAGAGTGTATACACCGACGCCATTGTGACCGATTCTGAGCCATGTCACCTACAGTCTCCAACCGTTGGTTACGATAGTCACGCGGACCCCAACCAAGTAGTCTGCATCTACCAACATGGCTCAGACTAGAAGTTAGTGACTTCAAGCACTGATGTCATGTTTTGGTTTGGCCGCCCCTAACTTTCTCCCAACCATCCCCAACACCGGTTAGCGTTGCACATCGTGGTTTTGAGTGTTCAGGCATACGTAACACGTGGCCCAACCATCTCAGTCGATGAATATTCACAACCTCATCAACTGATTTACCATCATTTCCTAATACCCTGCGTCTAACCTCACTATTACCTACCCGATAATCCCAACAGACGCCAGCAATATTTCTGAGGCATCTGTGGTCAAATACTAGTAGCTTACGAGTGTCTTCTACTCGTGATGGCCATGTTTCGCTGCCGTGAATTAAAACAGAGTGGACTGCCGCACAGTATACCCGTCCCTTTATTGATAGACGGATATTTCGCCTTCGCCAAAGGTGACGTAAGTTGACAAAAGCCAAACGAGCTTTTCGAATCCGTGCTGAGATTTCGTCAGACACCAACCCATTAGGGCTGATCAGACTTCCAAGATAAGTGAAGTTGTCGACGCGTTCGACTACTTCACTCCCTATCCTTAGTTCAGGTGTTGACGCAGACTAGTCCTGAAGCAACAACTTGCATTTAGAAGGAGAGAAGCGCATTGCAAACATTTTGGCATTGTTGCTTAGTGCTACCAAAAGACTCTGCATTTTATCAGCGTCTTCACCAAACAGGACTATGTCATCTGCGTATTCTAAGTCGATAAGTGGACCTCCTGGAAGGAGATCAATACCCGAGAATTCAGTCGACGAGAAAGTTATTTCCATCAGTAGATCTATGATGAAATTAAACAAAAATGGGGAAAGTGGACAGCCTTGACGGACACCACTTGAGGTTGCAAAAGTAGATGACAGTTCGCCATAAGCTCTGACTCGACTAGTAGTGTTCGAGTAAAGAGCCTTCACAAGGTTTATGTACTTCTGTGGTACGCCTTTCAATGACAGACACTGCCACAGAATATCGCGGTCTACAGAATCAAATGCTGCTTTTAAGTCAAGAAAGACCACCATTGTTGGACGCCGATAAGTACGCCTGTGTTCTAGAACCTGACGAATGGTGAATATGTGGTCGATGCGGCCACGACCAGGTCTGAAGCCAGCTTGATTCTCTCGTGTTTGCAGTTCACGAGTCTTAGGCGTCTGATAATTATCGAGGCTAGTATTTTAGATACTATATTAGTTAAACTAATCCCTCTATGGTTGTCACAGGATGATTTTGACTCTCTCTTATATATTGGGACGATAAGTGGTTGTGACAAGTGAGATAGGATTACGTCTAACTCCCAGATCTTAGCTAAAATATTAGTCAACCTAATCGCTAAAATTGGACCACCATCCTTAAAGACCTCTGGAGCCAATCCATCTGGACCAGCTGCCCTTCCTCGTTTCAGATTAACTATAGCCTTTTGAACTTCTGCTAGAGTTGGGGGACCTACTTCAATATTCCATTCACACTGTCCGGGAATGGAGGGTAGTTGTAGAGTAGCTGAAGGTCAGCTGAACTGTTCCTTAAAGTGTTCCGCCCATCGTTCTAAACGTCTGGACTGGGAGCAGATGAGGGTGTCGTCTTTTTCCGAAATAGTCTGACTTACACTTGACTTATTAATTCCAGTTTCTTTTATTAGTCTGTAGAGCTGTCTTGCGTTACCTACAGCCTCCGCCTTTTCCATCTCTTGCTTTCGTTGCCCACCACTGCCCACGCTCGTTCCTTAGACTTTTGCTTAACCTAGATCTGATTTGTTTTCGCTCTTCATCGTGTTCAGAGCCTGATGGGATGAGTTTACGAGAATCCATCAGTGCAATAGACCTTGAGAAAATCCATTGGTTCTTTGTAACCCTGTGGTTTAAATCACTAATAGATGTCACTGCTGTTTCCACAGCTGTTTTTATAGCTTTCCAAGCATTATCTGGGTCAACCTCGTTTTCAGAACTACCTAATTGTGACCTCAGTTGTTCCTGGAACCTACTTTTGGTTTTCTCGCTACTCAATTCAGTTCTAATGGGTCTTTTTACTGTGGCTGTTTTGCGTCCAGTGAGGCGCAAGCAGATGCGTGCCCGTATTAGGGCGTGGTCGGAGTCCAAGCAGGTACTCCAGAATGAGCGACAATCTTCTACCGACCCTCTCCAACGATGACTGATGGCAATATGGTCTATTTGAGTCCATCGTTGGCTTGGTGCAGGCGGTCGCCATGTTAGACGATGTCTCTCCTTATGCTTAAAATTTGTTTGCTAAAAACAAGTGATTGTCTGAGCACAGTTGTGGCAGACGATCACCATTATCTGTTCACTGTGCCGGTATACTAAAATACCCACCTAAATGCCTTTATGTTTGGTTTAAACTACCTATCTGGGCACTAAAGTCACCTGCTACAAGTACTATGTCTGAGCGTTTAGCTTTCTGCAGAAGTTCGGACAGCTTTCTGTAAAATTTATCTTTCACTTCATCTGAGCTGCAGTCGGTGGGAGCGTAGGCAGAAACGACAAAAAGGCAACGACGTGTGTCCCTATCCCTCCGAGTTCTTACGGAGCCGTTTAGCCGAACAGCACATAAACGACTGTTGACGGGGATCCACTCTAACAGTGCTTGTTCCGCCCTCATACTTAGTTCTATGCCTACACCTGCCAGTCCACGAGAACTGGCCATCGGGTCACCAGATACACGTAGGGTGTATCTCGTTGGCTCTCCGTTTTGACGAGGTGAGGTCAAATGAATGACCACACTGGAATTCTGTATGCGTGTTTCGGAGACACAGCATACATCAATGGAAAGAGATTCTAGGATTCTAGGCAAGGAAGCCTGTTGACCGATTTGACATAGAGTGCGTACGTTGAAAGCTCCAATGTGTAGTTTGGAGCGAGGTTTCAGTAGACCTGGGACAGAGTTTTGAGCACATATACATATATATCCAAACACTGATGAAGGATAGCATGGATGTTTATCCCTGTATTCCGATTGTAAACTGGTTTGTTAACTGTAGCGTAATAACTTGACATTGTTCAGCCTCTTAGTTGAATAGAAGAGTTGCAGTTTGTGTGATGAATTTTTACAAGCACCTCTTGTATACAACTCCTCCTGGAGTCCCTTTGGGGGCTACTGTCGTCCCCAAGCCCGGATAAACGAGGAGGGTTGGGCATGGGATTAGCGACCCCATCCCGTAGAAAACTAACTCGCTAAAAAAACGCTAACCAGAAAAAATTAGAAACACTAACCTCTTGTATACCAATACTCATAGATGTATTTTTTAAAGTAATTATTACCTAGTAAACAACAACAATTGAGTCTTGTTATCATTTTTATTGTGTTACATTTATTGCATACCCATTAAAAAATCACCTCATTCATAAGTCTATACTTGGTTTATTCTAATCACATTCTGGTCGTGTTGAACTTTTGCTGACATTGTCTCTTTTTGTCTGAATTTATATACCTTTTTTGTACACCAATCACAGATCTTATATACCACTCCTAGTTGTTAAGCCTGTCTATCCCGTATATACTACAAATCTTTCAGATTGATACAGCGTGGTTTATGTTAAGAATTTATCAATACCATTATTTCCATAATAAAACTTTTGTATTTTTGTTGAGAATAATTATTTTCAGAAGAGGTTGTGTGGAGATTTTAGTAATTTCAGTAGTTGAAATCATGAGTCAATTGAAGCTAGACCACCATGGAAAACCTTGAAGCACTGGACGGCCGTCTCGTCCTAGTATGGGACTCCTCAGCAGTGAGCATCCATGATCCCAAACCCTCACCTCACTCGAGCGCTTAACCATTAGACCACTGAGTCGGCATCCAACGGTGTTAATGTCGTCTGCTCACTAGTGACTGACTTCAAGATGCATTTCCTGGAGTTCTAGTGAGAAGCCGTGACCAGTGAAGTTCAACCGAATCTGGTGTGAGATATCAGCTTACTGAAGACAATGGTGGACGGTGGCGCAATTTTGTGGATTGGTTGAAGTTAGACATTAACTGTTGGATGCCGGCTCAATGGTCTAATAATTATTTTATCAATGAGTTTTATGGAGAATAATCAAATCTTATCCGATATATCATCATAGGGTAACAGAAAATGTACAATGAACTGCTTCAGAATATCAGCGGTTAAGTGTCAACATATTACGAATGAAAATAACTCCAAATCAGAGTGAACGTTTATTGATTGTCTTATTGAGTTTATTTTTTTTTTGCTTTACTTTGTTTCCTTTTGCAATTCAAGAAAAATTCTCATTGAATACAAAGAAGTAATAATTATTGAGCTTTTTTGTCACGAACGAATTTCTACGTTGGGTACAAAAAAAAATCTAGTTATAACCAATTGGCTAATTAAAATCTGTTATAGTTTATTGTCCAGTTCAGTCAATTTATATTATTCTAAAACGTTTGACCAGACGAACTGAGTGAGTAAGCACGATGAACAAGCAAAGAATAAGAGGACTCTGTAAAGAGTTGTATTGTCAAGAATATCAAACAGTAATTCGTTCACCTCATCAATATGTATGGAGCGATATCGCATCATCGATCTGATTTCTTTCAGCGTTTTAAAATATGACACAATATGACTCTAAGAGGAGTGGGGCAGCTAATAAGTGATTGAAAACTTAGTTTACAGGCATCAAATGATTAAAATCCCAATACATCCTTAACAACATTCCCCCCTTTATAACCGAAACATGTATAAAGTGCTTCAAACGGTAATTATCTGTCATTCATATTTGTTTATGGTCAGTCTTGCTCCTAAAACATCTCCTACTAACACGTAATACATTTCAATATATATGGTGAATATGGAGGATCCACATAGCGGAGTTGGAAAACCCTGGTTCCAAACCAGTGGTGCACATGGGCTCCAATGTCCTTAAGGAACAAATGGCGGATGGACCTATTGTTGGTCGTCGGTTGCCGTGGGACTGCATCTCCTAATGCTGCTCCATTGCCTCGTGGATTAAACCTATAGGTCGAAGGCTTGGGGTGTGGCCCCCTAAGGAGACCACCTGCTTCGATTTGGACACCCGAGCAGTATCCCAGCACTCACATAAATCGGATGATTTATGTGGCGCATATTTTTGTACCAATGTTTATGTGTTTAAATAAATAAAATAATCCTGATAACAGTTGAATGTGGTGAGAGTCGTGATTAACTTTCTATTTAACTGGTTTATAGGTCTTAACATTTTAAAACTTTAAAGAGATTTTCCTTGACAACTATTTTCATTTCTCCTCAACTTACTTCTAGTGGAACATTGTTAAGTTTTTAAATCCTACATTTATTCTTGAAAGACAATATATAGAAAGTAATGTCCGTTTTTTTCTCTTTTGCATTTTGTTTTACTAAGCAACAAACCAAAAATGGGAGGATTTACTCTAAATCGTTTTGTAGTGATCCACCTCCTGGTTTCGACTTACCAATTCATGATAAGCCTACTAGTGAGTTGTCATCTTCAATAACTTGTCAAAAAGAAGACGTTTTTATTGATAATAATGATTCAATGCCTATTCATCATTGTCATCTTGTGGATGATGATTCTTCGAAGAATTCTACACAAATGAATTCTAAACAATCTATTATACATCCTTGTAATTGGTTTTATATTGATCTATTTACATGTACTCAAGGTCCATTTACAAATCAACAAATGAGTACATGGCTTGCTGGTGGTTATTTACCATTAGCTTTAAAAATACGTCGTGATTGTGATGAATGTTTTCTTAGTTTAGGTGAGTGATTATGCAATTTACATAAGTTTCGGTGATTAACTTAAATTTCTTCCCTATTAACTATTATTCATAGTTACATTACATTGTATTTACAGTATCAAAAATAAAATTTATACTTTCTCAAAAAGTTGATTCATAAAGTTAATACCATGTTCTACTACTATTGATTCTGAAGTACATTGTTCAATTTCTAGTCTGGAATATTCACTTCATCTTGACATTCATCAGTCAAGTTCGTAGTACTATCTATGTATTTCCCAGAAATCAATATTTATATTGAGATTTCGAAATTCAATATTTTATTTTTACTTATTTATTTCAACACATAAATATTGGTACTAAAGGGCATTGAATATATATGCGCTACACAAGTCACTTGATTTGTGTGTGGGCTGTGATACTGTCCAATTTCCCAGACCGAAGCGGGTGGTTTTCTTAGAGAGCCACACTCGGAGACTTCGACCTGAAGGTCTGATCTACAAGGAAGTGGAGCAACGTAAAGAGATTCAGTTCCATGGTAGCCGGTGACCAATAATTGGTTCATATGCGATTTTTCCCCTCAGGATCATGGAACCCATGTACACCATTGGTTTAGAATGAGGGTTTTCCAACTTCCCTAGGTGGATCCTCCATATCCACCAACCGGATTAAAGCGCCGGACAGTTGCTTTACGTCCTCTCAATTTCGTAAACAACATTGATGTCGCAAGAAAGCAGTGAGTAGGACTTCCCTGGTAGTGGCTGTATACGCGTGGCCATGTGAAAGCATTTTGAGAGAGAGAGCTGATTCTCTTCACTCTCGGTCGTATCAAGGCATTTGGGGGTAATAAATTATAATCACGATAGTTCAAAGATATAGCTATTGAGCTTGTGTGTGTATGATTCGTACCTATGAGGTAATTGTGTCAATATTTTTTGGGTCTATCAACAAATTCACACCAGATAGCAGCCGCTTACAGAGAAGTCTTATTTGTCATCATGAAATTTTAGGATCTAATTTTGATCACAGTGGAAATTTAATCTTTGAAGCAAATCTGGACATCCGTGTTATGATCATTAAAGGGAATAGTAATGTTTCCTCTTCGTTTATTTATCCGTGACTGTATTATTTCTATACTGTTTAAAGTATATTGTTTAAGCGATTTGGAGTTTGAAATAAATTGGTTACGATGATCCTGTAATCCGTAAGATTTAAGGGTATTGATATTGCTTAATACATTTTTAGTGCCCATTGACTCCATTATGCTGATTAAATCATTAATAATATAGACGAAATATTAATCCTAATCACAGTCGTATGTGTTCTATGAACAAATTCCAATAATAACAATGTGTATATAAAACGTTGAATAAAAAAGTATCTCGGACCAGCGAGATGCCAGAAATGTTTACCCAAAATGTTACTCATTACAAACGTTAATATGACTCAAAATAAATAATACAAAGTGCAACAAATAGATAGGGGTTGAATCAAATAATTAATGCACGTCACACATACACAAGTGCACATATGACATACAGTGTCGAATCCTGAGGACATGGTTATAAGATGTATATATCATGAAGGTCACTTTTTCCTATATAAAAATGGCTCAGTAGTCAAAATCTGTCGGTAATCTAGGTTTGTCCAGAATCACATAGGCGTGCAATAAGCTGTCACTCACTCATTTGAAAGTCTAATTTCATTCTTCGCTGACCAACTTGAATATCTTTAACTATTTAGGAAATCACATCATCTCAACCATTTGATTCAGTTCATATAACACTATGCTTTAAACACTATAGATACAACACAATCACAGATGAATATTTTTGAGAAAACGTACAAAACCGTGTCCATCCCATGATCTTTCCACGTATGGTCAAATCAACAAAAATATTTCACTCCTATTGTATTTAAATCTAGGTTTTATGATATCATGATGAATCCCAGGAATTCTCTGTGATCAGATCCTATTCAGTATAAATTTATCACTGTTCCTTCACTCATTTTGTACAAATCCGTGATTCAGCAGTGTGACACCATCACTCCACCACGAGTTTTCATTTATTCAACCTGAGATACTGAAATACAACACCGACCAGTACATCGACCTTGACATGATTACTAAAGTGTCGCTATATGGCTACCTTCTTTTGTTTCCACAGGATCACTCACATCAGGCAGGTCCCAACACCTTTTTACAAATACCGGGGTACAATAATGCATGCTTAGAAATAGTGCAAGGAGTATCACAATGTGGAAACACCACATTCATTGTCTTAATCATGATTTACGCATGTTATCCCGCTGGTTTCCATAGCACTTATGATTCGCCGATTTTGAAAAGTACAAGTTGCTAGTAATGTAAAATAACTATTGGATGAAAATCTCTTCACTATTTAGGGATTCTTGAGTAGAATGCGGTGGTATGATAATATCATACAATGCAGTTGTTTAGAATGCTACCTGACCTGGTGACAGGTAATGACTGGTCCTTGTTTCATTATTCGAATAGATATTTTCCCTAAATACATTGTCTTCTACATGATTAGGTCGGAATAGAAAGAAAAAAAGAATGTGTATCATTTCAAGTTATTATGCTCTTAACCACTACTTTTATTACTTAAGATAGGTCATATAAATCCGTATCCTATAAATCATTTTGTCACTTTGTCTTTTTCAACATGAATTTATGCTTGTGGAATCCCGTTTCTTTTAAATATATTTTCTACATTATAACCCAAAGTTCCAGTGTTCACGTTAATCTTGTCAGCAAATCAAATCACCTAATGGAATTTACTCAAAGATCTTACGTAATACATTCACAAAATGTTTTGAGTAGTCATACGAATTAGTTCATTCTATAATATACTTATTCTCTGGTGAATAATACTTTCATTCACTGACTTTATGATTGTTATCCTACTTCATCTGTGTGTTGATTTCAACTGCTAACAGTGTTTGTGCTTTGTCAAAGCTGGATTCATTAGTCTGTACTTGAAGAATGATCGACATTAATTAATACTTTTGTACATATACATGAACCTACAAATAGTTGTTTTATCAATATGATGGATAGTAGTTATATCTAAAACCGTAATAAATGTATTGAGATTATTTCACATGACCTGATGGGTTTTAATGGGAAATAAATCTTTATTTACTGTCTTCCTGAATCTCCTCTGTGTGTGTGTTGCTTTGAGCTACATTTCATCCATATATGTGTGTATATATAGATCAATATAGGTAGCTCTCGCTCATATTGTATGCATTACCTACATTGACTCTATATTTGTTTGTTAATTTTCTATAAAATACAATTGTATTTCTGCACAGTTTCATGCTTCTCAATGGTCTTATTTCACTCATTTCTTCTTTTTATTTAAAGCTGATCATATGAATTTAGCTGGACGTATTCCATTTTGGACTGGCTACAATCAACCACCTATTACACATGCGAATTTACCATCACTTTCTGTATTAAACAATAATAATAGTAGTAATCAGGTATTAACACACTCAACTATTATCACCAACCAAATATCCTCCTCAACTCCACCAGGTATTACAAATCGTAAAACAGATTGCGTAAATTCACTTCAACAATCCACACTACCAACATTTGATGAAGATACAACTCAGGTAAATACGATTACATAGTACTATCACTACGTTGATATGTAGTATATTTAGTTAGTTAATTATTATTTCTAAATGATAATTTATTAACGTGTATCATTGATATCATTCTAAGTCCCCGAATCTCCTGGTACGGCAGAAAGTGGGGAAAATCAGCTCTCCCACTCGAAATGGTCTCACATGGCCATGTGCATATAACCACTGTCAGGGAAGTCCTACTCACTGCCTTCTCGTGGTATTAGTCTTGTTTACGAAATTTAGAGGACGAAAAGCGAATCTACGGCGCTCTAACAGGGTTGGTAGATATGGAGGATCCACCTAGGGAAGTTGGAAAACCCTCATTCCAAACCAATGATGCACATGGGTTCCATGATCCTGAGGGAAAAAATCGCATATGAACCAATTATTGGTCACCGGCTACCATGGAACTGAATCTCTTTACGTTGCTCCACTTCCTTGTAGATCAGACCTTCAGGTCGAAGTCTCCGAGTGTGGCTCTCTAAGAAAACCACCCACTTCGGTTTGGGCACCCGGGCGGTATCACAGCCCTCACACAAATCGAATGATTTATGTGGCACATATCTGTTTGGTGCCACCTTGTACCAATGTTTCAGTCAGTGTATGATCATTGTCCACCAATTCCTATTTGTACGAAATTTGTTCTTCATGACTAGAGTACAACAGCATGTGTACGGAATACAATCTTTTCTGTTCAATTTGTGTTCAATGGGTTCCGCTAATTCCTAGAACCACCAAGTTTCATCTCCTCATTTCCGTTGCTATTTGGCTGGTTCTTCCGGTCTCCCACATTGTCTGGACACTCCATATACCTATACAAATTGTTGCTAGAAGTGTCATCATCCTCATGACTTCCGAAGAATATCGACTTTCGCCATGAGGCGTTATAATTCTTCCTTAAAGTTTAAATTATTTATTCTGGTTAGCATTTCTTTTCCTTTAGCAAGGTTGTTAAATAAGTTAAAATCTCTACATTATCGATGATTTTTGTTAATGATTAGTTCATCGACAATATGATCTGATCAAATATATCTTTATTGTTTAGGTGAAATTCACTATAATTTTTCTACACTTTAATTTTTAGCTTCAAAACAAAGGAGATGTTAGTGTTTCTGATGGTAATAAAACTCAGGTAACAATCGATAATGATTCAATATCATTGAATATATCAACACTATCATCAAACACTATATCATCTCCTGTAACTGATTATTCAGAATCACAAACAATCAATAATTCATCTTCATTTAATGGCATCAATGATAAAGCATTATTAGATTTATATAATGAAGCTAAAAATATTGCATTACATACATCTAAAATTGAAGCAGAACGTTTAATATTAGCAAATAAATTAGCTGAAATTAATAGTACTACAGCTAAATTATTATCCAATTTACGTCCAACCCAATTAAGTTCTACATTAACTGAATCATTAATTCGAACAACAAATGCTGTACAAACTGAATTAGCACGTATTCTAGAACCATGTATTAGTGATGATAATAAAAATACTACTCTTACTACTACCTTCTCCAATACTAATGACGATGGTCATCCCGATGATGGTAATGATGATGATGATAATAATAATATCAAAACTGATAATGACGTTAGTTCACCCATTCTCAATGATTATAGTAATAGCATAAATGTTGTTTCATCGACAAAATTCTCAACATTATCATCTTTAGGAATAGAACTTACTGAATCATTATCTGCACTAACAACATTTGATAATATTCATCATAATGAAATTCATTCAACGAATGATAAACAAATTTTTATAGATAGAAAATTAAATACAAATGATGTAGATATTGATAATGAGCTTCCTTTAGATTCAACAATGAACAATCATGAACGCAATCATACTAGTCAGCATACGAATAATGATGCATATATCGCTAACAACAATGTTGTTGTTGATGATGAAAATAATGATAATGATAAAAAGTATCAACAACTTGAATCAATAGAAAAACTAATCCCTGAAGGTGAAATTACCGTACCATTGACTTCAAATAGTAATAATCATGAACAAGAAACATCAACAACTACGAAGAAATCTAGACGTAAAAATAAGAAAGCTAATAAAAAGTGAGAATAATTATTTTTGTTATAAACTAAGAATAATATTGAATGCTTTCATTTGTTTATCCCCAATGACTCAGTCAGTCAGTGGCTAAAGCATCCGTCTTCCAGTCATTACGTCACAAGTTCAAATCTTGTACTATCTACTTCAGTTTAGGCAATCAAGAGTATTATCATCTTTTAGACTTTGTACTTAGACTCAAAGCCAAATATACAAATCTGTAACTTATAATTTAGTTGGTATTGAATACTAAACAAACTTATAATCGACCAATTTTATTCTCTAAATGAGTAATGTGAGATTTTCGGATAGAAGTAATGTCGACAGTCAAACTTATCTGTATGATGTATCCTTGACAATGTGCAGTGAATCTATTCTGTCAACTCTTAAACCTTCATACATAAAATAAAACACATCATACTGTTGAGTCGAATCCCTCTATTTGGTAATGAAATTGCAGTTTTTAGCTATTCGACTTGTTATATTTTGTGTTCCAGACTGTCTGTTTCTTATATTATATATCCCGATGTATTTGAACAATCAAATGAATTTCATCCTGAATAATCGGGTTCTTATCCTCATTTTATTTGGCTGGCAGTATGCGAAAGTTTCGTCTAATTTGGAACTTATGCACTGGATGTACCCGATATATCCCTGTATTTATGTCTATAACAGGACTCAAACTCAGTACCTTTCACTTCAAACACCGATACATTACCCACTGAGCTACTGAATCCACTAACTTGTTCAACCAGTATAAAGGTATCAGTAAGCATTTGTAATTTAAAACTGCAATTCATTAGTCTCTATTGCTAGTCAGTTTATGTTGATGACCACTGACTAACTTTTTTCCCGTGCACCACCGATGCTAGCAATTTGAATCCATGGAATTTTTTTCCTGTACATCTGAAACTAGTCTCTAAACTATATGTTGGAACTTTCAATCTCCCGAATGCCTTGGTACGGACGAGGGTGGGGCGAGTCTGCTTCCACATGGCCACGCGTATTCAACCACTGCCTGGGAAGTCCTACTCACTGCCTTCTCGTGGCGATGGCGTTGTTTACGAATTCGAGAATACGAAAAGCGAATATCCGGCGCTCTAACTGGGTTGGTGGATACGAAGGATCTCCCGACGTTGCCCCACTGCCTTGTGGATCAGACCTTTAGGACGAAGACTCCGGATGTGGTCCCATAAGAAAACCACCTGTCTCGGTCTGGGCATCCGGGCAGTATCCAGGCCCTCACATGAATCAAGTGACTTGTGTGGTGCATATGTATTCGACGCCCCTTTGTACCAATATTTATGTGTTTAAATAATAAATAAATAAACAATCTTCAAACCTTATGCCAGATAGGTCGACAGATTTCTCTAGCCATGAAGTGCTTAAACATAACGAAAAATACTGTTCAACTGAACTGATACTATTCCCCCAATGATTCCTAACCCATCCATCATTTATTTATTTATTTTAACACATAGATATTGGTACAAGAGGGCACCAAATACATATGGGCCACACAAATCTCATTTGATTTGTGTGAGGGCTGTGATACTACCCAGGTGCCCAGACCGAAGCGGGTGGTTTTCTTAGGGGGCCACACCCGGAGCCTTCGACCCGAAGGTCTGATCCACAAAGCAGTGGAGCATCGTAAGGAGATGCAGTCCCATGGTAACCGATAGCCGTTAATAGGTTCATCCGCCATTTGTTCCTTCAGGGTACTGCAACCCATGTGCATCATTGGTTTGGAATGAGGGTTTTTCAACTCTCCTATGTGGATCCTCTGTATCCACAAACCCAGTTAAAGCGCCGTAGATTCGCTTTTCGTCCTCTAAATTTCGTAAACAACATTTATGCCACGAGAAGGCAATGAGTAGGACTTCCCTGGCAGAGGTTATGTACGCGTGGCCATGTGTGAGACCATTTCGAGAGGGAGAGTTGACTATCTCCACTCTCGACCATACCAGGACATTTGGGGGCAGGCCGGCATCCAACAGTGTTAATGTCTAACTTGAGCCAATCCACGAAATCGCTCCATGGATATCATGCATTAACTATTAAAAAAAAACAAGAAAAAGAAAGGTTTATGCCGTCTCTAATCAACATGGGTATTGATAGAATTGTTTATTTTATTTTGAAGGTTAATCATTCATGATGTGAGTTTCATAGTGCTTAACTCAACCTCTGATGCACGATTTATGAATTCAAATGGTGATGTCTTTTTAAAAAATCTTTATTTTTAACTAGTTGGAGTTGAATTTTTGGAAAACGCTATCCATATTTTTGAAGAAAATAGTTAATTTCTCGATATACATATGTAATTTCTCATCAGATCAAAGTTCATACTTATGAAATAGCAGGCTTTATGCTCATAAAATTTTACTCATTTTGCTAATATACGGACCCTGAATGTTACGGATTCGGTCGCATATGTGATCAAACGTGCGCGAACTTCTATTGAATGGCGCTCATAAACTTCATGGTTTTAAGTAAACTTGTGATTAAATAGGTTTATGGTATTTATCTATAACTATTAGTTTGTAGATTCAAATGCTACTTCATCTGTATTAGTCTATTATATAATATCTCTAGTGCGTTTCTATGATATCCAAGTACACAAACTACAATCGGTTGGTCAAACGAGTAGAAGTGATCCATGAATTTGTCGAATGACGAGTGCCAACTAACAGTGAACAAGGCTTCATGCTGACTACCCCAAACAACTTAACATCTTAGCATATTAGACGGAATGTTAAGTTACTTAGGCTAGTGGTGACATTGCAACTTGATCAACAGAATTCGGTCAGCACTAAAGGATTAGATAATCATAACATTAGTCGCACCATTGATCAATCGATTGTGAATATCTCCTTCCTACTGGATGTGAATCTCAGTCATATCTCAGACTGTGCAGCTGCGTGAAACGGGTTTTAATCCTACAGGAATCATTTCTTACAAGATTCTAGATACAACTTAATGACGTGTGTCAACTAACATGTGGCTTAGGTCCAGGGTTTCCAGTCAAATACATCTAATCATTTTTAATTACTGAGTTACTTTGTCTATATTTTTATACCGAAAGAAAGGAGTTGCCAGAATTACATAATATCATATTTAATCATATATAGATTAACACCAGACGAAGTACGTCAATTAGCTTGGGAGTCAGAATTCAATCGTCGTAAAGCTGCCGCATTAGAACAATCATTAGCTGAAGAAGCAAGACTAAAGAAATTGGCCGAAGAAGAGGCAATTGCTATAGCTGCAGAAAAAGCTTTAGCTGTACAAGAGAAAAATCGCCTTCTTGTTGAACAGCGTAAACGTGAAATATCACGTCTGAAAGCAGATAGTGAATTGGCTCAGTTAAAGTTGCCTGAATCCGCACGATGGGCGGCGGCTGCTACTAGTAATACAAATATCACAAACAGGACTGCTCCAATAGATTTACGTTCTATTCAAGCTTCACAAGCCGCTGAAGAGGTGAGTATTAGGTTATAGTTTTATTACCTCGTTAATTTGTAGTTGTAAACCAATAGCTCATCTTTTTTTAGAAGAACAACGTAACCACATGCACATACGTTTAAACGCAGTGTGTTTTAATGATTTTCGAAATCCATGATATTTCTTCTAGTTTAATGTATGCATTCTTTCCCTTAAGGCGTCCGACTTTCGACCACTGAGTTCTAGGTTCAAACCTCGTGCCCCTACCTCGTTTTGAGTTAACAGGTAGTATCATCAGTGCCTCATACCCAAGTACCTGGTGAATGAATTCATCTGTTATATCATTTGGCATTAGAATATGAAGTGTTTGGATTTCTTGACTACCCTATTAACTTTGCAAGTTACATTAGGTTGAATAGTCTTTTTCGAAGTCACCATACAAAGAACTTGTCTAACCGTTCTGACTGATGACATCTTTATCCAGTAGCAATATATCCGAATACCTATTGAGAAAAACGTATACCACTCAATGATTGGTTCTGTATATAACAACATCATTGAAAACCAAACATATATGGATTACTGTACTTCGACCTTCTTATTTATCTTAAGGGCATCTTGTATATTTTTACGGTTACCAATTGAACGGCTGTGACTCACTCAATGATAGACTTTAGGAAAAAATTGCTTATTGTCTAATTGAAGGGGTCACAGATTAATTTCAACTGGGTTACCATTTAAAACGAGGAAACGTTGACCATCTATCTCGTCATAGTATGGAACTAGTTCTACTTAAAAGCAGCGACCAGTGGAATCGGACGTCAATAAAATATCACCAATCACAATAGATGGTATACGTCCAATATCGTAAATTGACTGAAGTTCGAAATGTGAACCATTAGATACTAATAAATAGTGATCTTCGAATTGGGTGGTCAGCTTGAGGCGCAAAGGTCTTGGGTCCGGTCCCCGATGGGATTGTGAACTCTAATTACTGAGTAGTCCCATACTAGGATGAAATAACTGTACAATGCTTGCCCGTTTTCTATGGTTGTCCAACTAAAGTGATCCTGTGGTGTAAAAATACATGTATACAGTTATTTTTATGTAAGACCATGGACTAGAATAAATAGGACAGTACGCTCTATATAGTTACACTACATGATCTGTAGATTATCTGTCAGTTTTTTTTCTGCTTAATGCGAAAATAGACTTAAGTAACAAATGCTCATTCTTACAATTTCATGCCACCAATCATTTTGAATCCTTATGTGCTCGTGTAAATATTAACTTCCAAAATCTACGTTTACACTTTCACATCGTTATACATAACCAAAATGTGTGTTGGCACGCAATAATAAGTCAACGAGATACTGTGGAGTGGTGTCTAAGTGATCAAGGTGTTCACCTTTCAGTCAGTTTGGAGTTTGAACCCCGCTCCACCTACTTCAGTCTCAGTAACCGAGTAGTATCACTAGCCGTTACACAATGAGTGTCTCATACTTAAATACCTAGCGAATGAGTTAATTTATTAGTATTATAAAATACGGTTAACATGATCAACTTCTAATATCCGTTAAAACATGCTAAATAAAACCCTCCTTTCTGATATATATTTTCTATTCTAAAATTAGTGAGGATAAAAATAAAAATTGATTTTATTTTGACGAAATAATAATAATCATCATCATAATATAAGCAATGATGGATAGTGGCTAGCAGTGGAATCTAGGACGCGCGTTTCGTCCTATTTGGGGCTCGTCAGTTGAATGGATGTACCTGTATCTCAGAATTATTGTCTACTCCAATGCTCGAACCCAGTATCGTTCGCTTCAAACGCCATCACATTATCCACTTGGCTCTTAACTCCTGATAGCCACTAGTTTGTGCAATGTAGTGAAGTCTAAATTCATTTTGGATTGTTTACTTGAATCTTCCCATTCATATTTATGATTACAATTGATCAGTCTCTTATTGGCATATATGCATCCTGTACGGATTGCCTCTATATTGCCTTAATTCACAAGCATTATAAACAAGGACGAAATGCTCATCCTGGATTCCACTGCTAGCTACTATCCATCTTTGCTTATAATGCTTGTGAATTAAGATAATGTCGAGGCGATATGCACATATGCCAATAAGAGATTGATTAATTTCAATCTTAAACATTAATGGGAAAATTCAAGTAAACAATGCATTACCAATATAGTTCATGATAAGTCGTGTAGGTTGAACGCTATATACGATTCCTAAGCTATTCCCGTAACCCGTAGACTAGAACTACACAGCAACTTGAACTTCAGAGAGAAGACACAAGTATGAGAGAAAACACTTTATCCCAAGGTTCATTTTAGTACAGAAAATCAAGGGTATTTATAGATGTTGGCGTCTGTTAAATCAACATCATATTTCAGCCAATCCGTTAACGTCGTCATATTATGCTACCGACCAATGGTAGCAGTTCATTACATTCATAACTACATCATATTTTCTACAATATTTAACCATTGATATCATGTAAAATAATACCTTTTATAAAGGTATGTTCATCATTTTGTTAAACATTAAAAAGAATCACTTTCATTTTAAATGGTTACTTAGTGTCGATTACTCAAGGATAATAGGTTTTAATTATAGTGTTACCATGTTTGTTTTTTTAATGTAAATATCATATGATTATTATTTTTTTGTAAAAATAGGTCAAGGTGGTAAATAGTGTAGACGTGAAATATCTTTGTTCAGTCCCCCTTCTTCTTCTTCTTTTTTTTTCCTGTTTCTACATTAATTATCATGTTTAAACAGGATAAACAAGGTCAATCAATCAATCAATAATAAATGTAGTCTATACCATTCCAATTGAATATTCTTACTGCCCTTACTTGATCATATCTATTTCATCGAACTACTTTTTTTTATGACTATTATTGGCTGAACAAAGAGAATTTTAATAGTTGAATTCATGTGTCAATTGAAGCTAGACCACCATGAAAAACCTGGAAGCGTTGGAAGGCCATGTCGTCCTAGTTTGGGACTCCTTAGCACTATAATATCCAAATAAACCCTTTCTGATATTAAACAAGATATGCATACTAGTGACTGGCTTCAAGTGGTATTTCCTGGAGTTCTAGTAAGAAGCATTGACCAGTGGGAGTTCAACCGAGTCTGTTGTGAGATAGTAGTTCACAGAAGATAATGGTGGATGTGTCGCTGAATTTCGTGGATTAGTTGAAGTTAAACATTAACACCTTTGGATACCGGCCGGCTCAGTGCTCTAGTGGTTAAGCGTTCGCGCGCGAGACCGACAGGTCCTGGGGCGGAATCGTGGATCCGCATCGTTGAGGAGTCTCACAACAGGACAAAATAGCCATCCAGTGCTTCCAGGTTTTCCATGGTGATCTAGCTTCAATTGACTGATGATCTCAGCTATTAAAATTACTATAATATCCACATAAACTCAATCTGATATAAGTCTATACTAGATTGATTATAGATTTAAAGCAATTAGTCCCTTTTATAAATTTCGATAGAGCAACTATAGATCAATCTCTTCATATAAAAATGCCCTGATAAGTGTATATATGTGACCAGATTGTTCTTAATGTATAGCGCATATATATCACATTTTTTAGATCAACTCCGTCTTCTAATTACTCTATTGATTACAGATTGTGTCGTTTATTTGATATGATTAAAAGTAATAAATTAATTTGAAAATATGTTACACAGTTCTCATCCGATAGATTGATGTCTGTGCGTCCTGAACATGTTTCTTCATTATCTTAGAATTGTAACACCAAAATTATTTGGTTGTGTTGTCAACCAACACTTCAAATTCCCAATTGATTGATCACCGGGTAGTGATCATTTTTATGTATGTCAGGTCCTTCTTAGTCCAGATCAAATCCTATCGACCAAGTTGCAGTGTGGCCACTAGTCTAGGTGACTCGACATTGCGTGTACTATGTGATGGTCGTGCGTGGACCAACCAGTGATCAATCAATTGTAAATAAATCTCAGTCTTACAGGAGGTCAGTCACAGCCCGGTTAGCTCAGTGGTAACATTTCTGACTATAAAGCTGGTTGACACGAGACGGAATCCGTCATGGATCATCGGTTTCCACAAGATTGCAGGTGCACCTTGCTGACGAGTGCCAAATAGCACGAAACTGAAGTTCAAGGTTTTTTGTTGACTACCTCCAACCACCATCTTACTTCAAATTTTATTCTAATATCATAATTAATGTGTTGTAGACTTTTATGACTTGTTTTTTTTTGTTTTCTCTACACGGTATAAATAAAACTCGTAATATAGTGAACGAGAACTCAGTTAAGGGAAACCATACATTATTTGTATATCTTCCTTCAGTTGTCCTTTACATTGTTGTTATTACAATTGCTTTCTGTTTCTCTTCCTGTTTTCTTCAATCAATCTTCTCAATATTCTGCTGGTAGTCATTCTACTTCTGATTAAAGCTACATACTACTAATATTTGTCAGCATATGCCACAATAGTTGTTATCTATAGATTATTAACGATACTTCTACCCTAGCTTAATGCCTTCATCAAAACTCATAGATTACCTAATATAATGAAAATGGAATGGGCTTTTTTTTTAAATTTGCGAAATTTATTGGTACATGGATAGCAACCAAATAGTGTTAAGAATCTGTATTTAATTAATTTATGCATCTTCAATCAAACAGTGAGTTATACACAAAGTATAGCCTTACACACAAAAAAAACCATATCGTTGAAAGTTATCATTTGTCATATCTAGCACAAGATGATAAGCAAAAGTGTTGACATAAGACAATCATGGAATGAAATACTAAACATGGTAACTATTTATATGTAAAAGAATGGGTGTGTAATGTTGAAATGATGTTAAGTTCAAAATTTCAAAAGAAGATACATTATGAGTTAGATTTACTCAATTATATTGACTTACTTTAGGGTCTACATATCTCTTCATATATATGGTTTAGATAAGCAGTTGATAAATTTGATGTGTATAGATTCGATACATGAAATTAGCCGATCACTTGAAACCGATTTAATTGTTTATACTTTCTTTCAATACTTGTTGTTTATAATACATCAAGTGTTTATTATCACTTTTCTTATTTCTGGTAGATAAAATAGAAATTGTTATAACTTATGGTCTTGTACCCTATCTAATGTATAACGTAATGATACCGCCAATTAGTTGAGAACAGTGACTCATCAATCGGAACAATGACGCATAGAGGCGTACGAGTAGTTTCGAGTCCTTATCGGTTCTTCTTTCAGCCTAACCCTGCCTGTTAGAATCCAGAACACCAATCTTAGCCTCCGTGATATGTATCATGTATTTCAAACATACTGGGTTTATATACCACCAACCAAACAGACTACATCATACCATAAAATAGGAAACAACATTTGTACAAGATCTAGCCAAAAGTGACTGTGAATGTTGAAGACTGTAATTAATAAACTGGGCATAACTCAAAAACAGTCAATCGTATAATAAGGTACATTGGCCGTAGCCAGCGCTCGCTTTCAACTCGGATACGGGAACATATCCAAGCTTGGTTCTATAAGGGTGAAAGGAAAGCAGTTAGGAGTTCTATACTGGAACACCTAATCGACTATAACCATTCAACAGATCCACAAATTGATTTTAAGGTTGTTTATATGATTCGTTCAAATCTACCCAGATTTCTTCGTATCCAACTCTTAAAAATAGCCAAAGCTCTTACCATCCAGGAGCTTAAACCAGAACTATGCGTAAATAATAGTCTATAAGTCAAAATAAAGCTTATAATAAGAGGAATATGAATATGCATAGTTTAGCTACTTAGTAATTATATAATAGAAATATATGCAATGTATTGGTCCATAAATAGTTCTCAAAAGTTACCATTTATAATTCTCGTTGAGATATAACAGAAATGGTTATTTTTCTTTTAAAATAAATCAATATTCTAAAACTGCCTAACTCATGAAATTGATCATTGCACATTCTAACTATTTCCATTCAAGAAATTTGTTAATGAAATCTATTTGATTTATAAAAGTAAATCATGAGGCGGGATTATGAATGTGCACTTCTGAAGGGGGTTCACACAACAGGACGAAACGGTCATCCAGTGCTTTGAGGTTTTCCATGATAGTCTAGCTTCCATCTCAACTATTGAAATTAAAATAATTTCAATACTAAAAACTATGGTTATCAATAATAGTAATAAGTAATTCCTCTTTTCTGTACTATGTCCTTACATACAATCTTTCTTTTATATATATTACTATCATTGAATTAACTACTTTTATGAATTTGGTGTTTATCTTGTTGTGTTAATAAGTGAGGTGTGGCAACTTGGATCGATGCATTAATGTGCCTAGTACTACATTGTAGCTGACTGACTAAATAGTAGTAATAAGACTTTTACGTTCATCATATTCAGATTATTATTTTTTAGAGGAATAAAAACAAAGTCAATGTAGTCTACAATTCTTCTTTCATCATTAAAATACGTGTGTTGAATATGCAGATAATTCTGTTGTATATATTCGACTTTTGTTTTTTTTCTATTCCTGTGAAGTTGAATGAGTTCTTCACAAATATTGAATAATAACCTCTTCTAAATGTTCTTGCATTCTATCAGAACTGTGTTAACTTTAGGTTTAAACACAACAAGGATCAAAATATCCTGTTGTTAAGGTGGTTACATATATTATCATGTATCATTGGTCATTCTGGTTTAAAAAACGATATTTCAAATATTGTTGTGTTTTTTTTCTCTACTCTTTCCTGATCTTCATTTGTTCAGTCAAAAGTTTTTTTAGTCTGTTCAGTAGAAAGAACATATATTTTGGACATCCCTATACCATTTGCTTTTGTGATTTGTCTGTTGTTATATATTACTTAGTTTTCTTAGAAAAGTGTTATGATCACCGAGTTGAAAAGCGTGCTTTGGCCTGAACGGCAGTACATCGTGATGTTGACTTTATGAGTTAGTACACAACGAAAAAAATCTTGATACATTAGGCTAAAAAGCTCTCTTCTAACATGTTAATGTAAATATATATAACAGACCTGTATACTTATAAACGAATTTTCAGAGCAACTATACATTGACCTAAAGTTTGCATTTATTACCTTTGATAACTTCAAAATCATATAAATGATGTGTGTATCTTTTCAGGAATTTGTCACTTTACGATCAGAAATTCTTAATTTAACTTATGCATTTATCTATTGACTAAGTGTTATCTCAATTTGGAAGTTGTTCAAACTTATCTTACACCTTTCTCTTCTTTGTAAGGCTAAAAGAAAATATCATGATGCATTAATGTCTGAACAAGTTGCTGTGTTGATAGCAGCTGAAGCAGCTTCTCCATCATCAAAAACTCCACTTTCATGGTCTCAAATCGCTAAATCGGATACGACATCTTTAACACCTATAAATCCATGTATATCAAAGAATGATAAAACAACTGAACGTTCTAAATGTGTAAGTCGTAAATTATCCTTTATTTTTCTTGGTTTCTAATTTATTATATACCATTTGCCAAAATGGAGAATTCTTTGTATTTACATCTCATAAACTGAGTTCATAATATTTATTTTTCCTTATTTGAACACAAATATTGGCACCGAACACATATGCACCACACAAGTCACTTGATTTGTGTGGGCCGTGGTACTGCCCAGACGGAAGCAGGTGGTTTTCTTACGGGGCACACCAGGAGCCTTCGACCTAAAGGTTTGATCTACAAGGCAGTGGAGCAAAGGCGGCCTGCTTGAGCATCTGGGCTACCTGTTCCTGCCATCTAGATATTTCAACAAGTTATCTATTTTTGTTTGTTTTAATATATCATCATGTTTATTAATCGCATGACCTATTCTGCTGAGTTTCTGAAAAGTGTATAACCTTTCGTTGTCAAAGTTACAAAAAACTCAATAAGAGACAATGTGGTTGCTGGCAATATACAGCGAAAAGAATGCACATTATTCAGATGTTCATTTACTGAACTACTAACATCTAACTGGCGATCACTCAATATTTATCGCCAGGACCGACCAAGAAAAAAGAAACGGAAACCTGTTGAAATACTTTACGCTGAGAATTCTATATTGTACCAAAAATATAGTATTGAATAAAGCTGATGATAATAATAAATAATAATAATAACGTAAAGAGATTCACTTCTATGGTAGCCGGTGACCAATAATTGGTTCATATGCGATTTTTTCCCTCAGGATCATGGAACCCATGTGCACCATTGGTTTGGAATAAGGGTTTTCCAACTTCCCTAGGTGGATTCTCCATATCTACCAACCCTGTTAGAGCGCCGTAGATTCGCTTTTCGTCCTCTAAATCTCGCAAACAACATTAATGCCACGAGAAGGCAGTGAGTAGGATTTCCCTGACAGTGGTTGTATGCACATGGCCATGTGAGACCATTTCGAGTGGGAGAGCTGACTCTCCCCACTCTCGGCCGTACCAGGGCGTTTGGGGGCAGTCATTGCCAATTAATTATGTACCGTTTGCTCTGCCGTCTTCCACTTATGGTATGATTGTGTCTAAAGTATGATTTATTATTCGGTTTTGTGTGTGGTGATCGACCATCTCAAGTAGAGTGGAATAGAGAAATAATCTGTTACCTATCTGCATCTTCTGATAGTTGACCACTCAGTTAGAAGGAACTCGAATACCAATAAACTTTAAAGTTTCCGGTTGTTGTTCATCGGTCGATGTCTTAGTTGATTCTAAAAAAAAACATCATCCCTCCTACTGACGATATAAGTGAACTAGTCGATAATCAGAATCTTTATTGGGCGATATATTACTTATCTTAAGTCACAACATACCTCATTGTTACTATATTCCTACTATTACTCAGCCTTTAACATTTCACGAAGTCCAGACGTTTTGTTCTGTAGTCCATTTAATTGTGAAACTTTTTTCTACTCTCACTACAGTTATAACTAACTATTCACGTAACACTCGATGTGATTTATCTTAGTGATGAAATATAATCAGCTGTAGAAGTTAACTAAAAGGGGATCTTTTACATTCAATATTGTTTGTTAGTCAATTTTCTCCTTTTTTTTCTGTTTAATTTTCCACTAAACCTATACATTCACTTAGTTTATGTTATTCATAAATATGGTTTCTTTTGTTCTAGACTGTTGCTATATCATCTAGTAGTAATAATAATGGTCCAATACATAAATCCATTAGTTATTCATCGAATAGTAATAATACTTCATCTTTAACACAATTAGATTATTTAAAAATCACTTCATCATCAAAAATATCCTTAAATAACAATATAAATTCTGCTGCTACTTCTACATCTGTTTCGTGTACACCGAAAGTGAATAATACAATTGTTAAGTCAGTGACTACAACAACAACAACAGCAAATATACCTTCAATATGGGATCTACCTGTAACAAATAATCTAGATAATACTAACAATACAACTGGGAAAAAAAGCAATTCAAAAAAGAAAAAAGTAAGTCATGTATTATACAATACAACAAACTATATATTATGCTATTCGTGTTGTTGAGTTTGTCTAATCTAGATTGCCTAAATGTTGATCTATCATTGTCATTGTAAACAACATAATCAGTGCTTACTTTATATAGCCTTTTACATGGATTAACAAAAATTCATAAAGTTGATAGACCGTTATGACCCATGGTAGATTTTACAAACACTCTAACATGTGCTTTGTATAGGTTATGTTGAAGTGTTTTCAGGATACTGCTTAAATATTTAGATAATGTCATTGGACTCATGATTTAAAGCCAAAGATTTGAGAATCATGTCAGAAAGAACGAAACAATGGTAACCTATGAATGTTGCATATTTATACCCAAATATTACTATTAATAGATGGTGAAATTTTATGAAAGGACAGCTAACAGACTCGTTCGAAGTAAAGACCTGTGTCAAGCAAGGTTGCTTACTCTCACCTTTTCTCTTTCTCCTGTTGATCGACTGAATCATGAAGAAGTCAACAACTGGGGGGAAGCATGGGATACACTGGACAGCTAGGATGTACCTGGACGATCTAGACTTCGCACATGATCTGGCTCTTCTATCACACACACACAGCAACAACAAATGCAGGAGAACACGACCAGTGTAGTAGTAACCTCAACAGAAGTAGGTCTCAACATACACAAAGGGAAAAGCAAGGTTCTCCAATACAGCACAACATGAACCAATCGAATCACACTTGATGGAGAAGCTTTGGAAGATTTAAGGACCCTTACATATCTCGACAGCATCATTGTTGAAAATGGTGGATCTGATGCAGATGTGAAGGTGTGGATCGGCAAGGCAAGAGCAGCATATCTACAATTGAAGGACATCTGGAATTCAAAACAACGGTCTGTCAACTAACACCAAAGTCACAATTTTCAATACAAATGTCAAAACAATTCTACTGTATGGGATGGAAACTTGGAGAATTACCAAAGCCATCATCCAGAACATACAAGTGTTTATTAACACTTGTCTACACAAAATACTTCGGATCCATTGACCAGACACTATCAGTAACAACCTAGTGTGTGAAAGGAGAAACCAGATTCCAGTGGAGAAAGAAATCAGAAAGAAGCGCTGCAAGTGGATAGAACGCACGTCGAGGAAAGCTCCCAACTGCATCACAAGGCAAACCGTCACTTGAAATCTTCAAGGCCAAAGGAGGAGAGGAAGACCAAAGAACACATTACGTCGAGAAATGGCGACAGATATGCAAAGAATGAACAACAATTGGATAGAACTTGAAAGGAATGCCGAGGACAGAATGTGTTGGAGAATGCTGGTCGGTGGCCTATGCTCCACTGGGATTAACAGGTGTAAGTAAGTAAGAGATTTGATGAACGGTTTACTTGAGAACTCACCTTCGAAGAAATTTTATATAAACAAACGAATGGAGTAGCCATGGAATCTTCAGTGTCTCCGATTGTTGCTAATTCATTTATGTTCCATTTTGATTTACTTATTCTTCTCAGTGGCATCAGATCACGCATGTAGTTGAGATATGTAGGTGACACATTTATCACCAATATAAATAGTCTCCTTAGAAATTTCTCTAAATTCATAAACACCTCAGACCACATAAAATTCACTTTTCGAAAGAAAAATAAATTTAATGTACTACCACTCTTAGACTTTAGTTAAAAGGGAGTCTAACAGAAATCTAAATTTAACTATCTGCTGAAAACTGACACATCCAGATCGGTACATTGATTTCAACTCTCCATATTCATTCAGTGCAAAAGAAATTTCCCTGGCTCTGAATCTATTCAGGGGCATTACCAAAGTCATTATCTTAAAAGAAGATAAATTAAGGGGGCAAGTAGCTTAATAAGCATCTTACGATTTATAAATTTTCCTCAGAATATTTTGAACATGAAACTCTTTATCTCTTAATACCAGTGTGAATGAAATATCACGGATAGATACATAGAATTGTGCTGATAGATTAGATTGTTTCGACTGTTATACTTTATTGGAGAGTTTCTTCATGGAATTTTGACTCGTGCTCATGTATACTTTTAAGCTGCACAAAAAGGCTGGTGAGATTATAATTTATGGATGAACCAATCAGATTTTAGATAACAGGTTTCGGATTTTAGCGCGAAATTCATTCACTCATTCGGCGAAATGCTATTTCAGCATTCTAGCTGATGTCGGTTCGTGATGAAAACTCTAAATCTAGTTCCTAACGCTAACCATCAACTGTAAATCACATTTCGAATTCCTCACATTGGTTTATAACCCTCATTCAGTCTTAGTTAGTACGTTGACGTTTTCAAGTTCATTGTAGCGTTGTTCAAATGTCGTCCATAAATTCTAGTTTTACCAAAAGACCTCCTAGCAATCCTATCGAAAGAACTAGAAGATTTACAAATTAAATAGAGAATAACAACTTATAGCTATATTCAGTAACCGTCAGTTCTATATTAAAGATGTCAAAGTAATTCGAAGAGGTTTTTCCAACCATAAAGAAAAATAAATAGATGAGGTGTTTTTATACAGTGCTAACTCTTTCCACTTTTAACCGAAAAGATCTGACTATTCATCTAATTTAAATCGTCTCTTCAAGCAACTTCATTCATCTCTGTTCTCCCTTCTCACATAATTAATACATAAATATATATACACATACACGAATTTCAATTCTATTCGTAATTTATATTATTATCAGAATGGGTTTTGTGGAGATTTTTAGAAATTTCACAGGTTGGAATCATGAGTCAATTGAAGCTAGACCACCGTGGAAAACCTGGAAGCATCCACGACCCTGCACCCCGCGGGATTCGAACCTAGGACCTGTCAGTCTCGCGCCAGGCGCTTAACTAACTAGACCACTGAGCCGGCATCCAACGGTGTCAATGTCTAACTTCAACCAATCCACGAAGTTGCGGGGGAGGGATCGTGGATGCCCACTGCTGAGGAGTCTCATACTAGGACGAAACGGCCGTTCAGTGCTTCCAGTTTTTCCACGGTGGTCTAGCTTCAATTGACTCATGATTTCAACAATTGTAATTTATATTACAAATTTCACATTTTTCATAATCAACAGCATATACAGATAAACACACTAATGTCTCACAATGGTTTTCTGTTTTTGTTGTTCTATATGGTTGCATACGTTGTTTTGTTCATTGTATAGTAAATACCTAATATCAATTTTTGTTTTGTGTGTACACCTAATGTTACCTTAAATCAATTCTCAGTTATTGTTAAATGTGAATGAGCTTTAAACACATAGTCAAAAAAAAAGACAGACTGTAAAAACTCAGTTACCATTCATATTCGGATTAAACCAGTTCAAATCATAATGCTTATCAACAATTAAACTCTACATTAATATAAGATTGAAATGACATACAATTTTTCAATTTAACTGATGATGGATTTCCAGTTGAACTCCATGATGGGAATTATTACTGTTTAGGAAATTTATTGCGGTCTCCAATTCTTTGTATCATCTGACTTACTTCGTCAACACTGAATTATTTCACTTATTTGAGGTATTCCAATATTGAACTGGGTAGAGGGTGCTAGAGCTAACGTTTTTTAAGGGATCATATATTTCACAGGTTGAAATCATGATTCAATTGAAGCTAGACCACTATGGGAAACCTATAAGCACTGGATGGCCGTTCCGTCCTAGTACGGGACTCCTCAGCAGTGCGCATCCACGATCCCGCACCCCGCGAGATTCGAACCCAGGGCCTATCAGTCTCGCGTCAGGCGCTTAACCAACTAGACGACTGAGACGGCATCCAACGGTGTCAATGTCTAACTTCAACCAATCCACGAAGTTGCGCCACCGTACACCATTGTCTTCAGTGAGCTGATATCTCACAACAGACCTGGTTGAACCCCACTGGTAACGACTTCTCACTAGAACTCCAGGAGTATCTCTTGAAGTCATATATTTGTTAGTGTAAACTGAGCCTGAAAATGACCAGTTTACTATGAATAATGTATTGCAGTACAAGTCATCTGTAGATGTGTAATGTGATATTTGTATCTTTTACCGTATAACAGAGTCAATAACATAAACAAACAAAATACATTTGTACGGGTTTTTTTTGACTACTCGAGATAAATGACAAATCATTCACCCGTACTTCACTCACTGTATAGCACCATATAAACTGTCTAAATGATGATGGTTGTATTTTACTAACCCTATGGACTACTACCTTGTGAACAGTCGACAGTAAAATATTCCGTATAAATAGGTCAGTTGAACGAGTTATTTTCTCTTTATTCTTCAATTTAATCACTTCCTACTGTACTAATGCTAGCGATCTTTTTACTTTTTGACTTATCATCCACTAACCCATTAAATGATTTCATCTTTATGTAGAAAAATCGTGAGGTTTCTTTATTTCCTGCTAAAGAAGAACTTGCCCATTGGTGTGAATCTCAACTGTCTTCCATTCCTTTGTCTGGAGTTGATTTGCCTACTTTAGTGGATTTATTATGTGAACTACAAGCTACAGATGAAGTAAGTGTTTGTCACCCCTTTCTCTCTACTTAATTATGTGTCAAGCTTCCCACTGAGATAATAACACATATATTAGTTATCTGTTTGGTTTAGTTAGGGATTGAATTTTAGATCCCCTGAATCACAAATCCAAACTTCATTTCACTTATTTTGATTTAAAGATACGGTAGGGTTACTTAACTAGCCCGTATTATGGTTTGAGTACAAATACACAATTTATGCTTAATTAATGAGTTGTATGAAACCATTGAATTTAGGAAATATTATCATGAATGATGTCGTTCAAAGTCGGTTCATTACACTTTAAAATCTAAAATTATTCTTCCCCTGTCAGTAAGAAGACGTCTAATCAAAAGTATCTACAAAACAGTAGGATATCTGACACTTCACAAAAGAGACTTTGTAAAAACTCAATTCAATTGAATATTCTTATCGGTTACTAGTGCATATACATTTACCTTGGTATGGCCGAGAGTGGGGAGAGTCAGCTCTCCCTCTCGAAATGCTCTCACATGGCCACACATATACAACCACTGACATGGAAGTCCTACTTACTACCTTCTCATGGCGGGGGTGTTGTTTACGAAATTGAGACGACTAAATGCGAATGTCCGGAACTTTAACCGGGTTGGTAGACACGGGGGATCCACCTAGGGGAGTTAGAAGATCCTCATTCCAAACCAATGGTGCACATGGGCTCCAGGATCTTAATGGAACAAATGGCGTATGGACCAATCGTTGGTCACCGGCTACCATGTGATTGCATCTCCTGACATTGCTCCACTGCCTTGTGGATGAGACCTTTAGGTCGAAGGCTCCAGGTGTGCCTCTTAAGAAAACCACCTGCTTCAGTGGTTATTTAGTTGACCTAGATTAATGATTGTCGGTAACCAGTAACGGCTATTGTTCTGAATCCTCTCAAGAATTAAGACTAACTATTTAAGTCACGGATCAAATCTAAAATGATTTAAATAATGACAGCCAATGTATCAAAACGAGAAATATAGACATAAGATGTGAAATTTCTTACTAACAATTATATGTTTATTGAACTCACAAAAAGTATGGATGAGTGTTGAAAACGTCAAGAGAATATGAAATTACTGTATTATGTGGCATGCCACATCAATGGAGCTCAGAAATGATTCATAATAGTATATGCTACTCAATATTAGTAAGTAATATAATGTTATACACTCTTATGAAACCAAATGAGGGTGAAATAAAGGTAGAAGGGACGATCAAGGTTGATAAACTCGGATGGAGTTTTCTTCATTGAGCTGGATAGTTTGGTCGTGTACCTTTCATCGTTCTTCTGAACAATATCAGCACAAATTTCAAGTGAAATGAGGTATTCGAATTCCTGCACGTATGACTCACAGCTTGTCTTGTAGGTCTCGATCTTTATTGGTCAAACCATCCAGCTCATGGAACAAAACTTCACCAAAATCATCCACCTGAGCTACAGATCTCCACCTCAATTGATAAACTCCACTCAACTTTTTCTCAACATACAGGCACTCTTTTGGTTATAACCCTCTTGTTATGGCCTTGATGTCTGGCTTTTCTATCACGCGTCTTCTCAACCAATCAGAATAAGACTTATACAATCTTCTCACTTGAGTCCAGAACACAATACCAGCTTCTGTAATATGAATCGAATCGAATCGTTTATTTCAGACATACTCGGTTTATATATCAATCAGACAGACCACAACGTACCATAAAATAGAAAATAACATGTGTACACAAATAAGCCAAAAAGTGGCTGTGAACGAGGGGGACAGTAATTAATAGACTGAGCATAGCTTAAGAATCGTAAATCGTACAATAATAAAATATAGGACAAATTAAAGCTTATAATAAGAAGAATATAAATATACATAATCTAATTATTCAATATTTTTACAATAAGAATATTTATAGAATATTAGTCCATTAATAGTCCTCGGGAGTTACCTGTAATTTAATCTTCACCGGGGTATAACACCTCTAGCTGCAGGTCCGGACTTCATCGCATATATTTTTGGTTTCGGTAACTAAGTAACGTTGGAGTATTACTCAAACACAACGTGTCATGACACCTGGAATTACTTAAATCAGTTCAATGTAAACAACCATTATGAGCTGCGTCGTCGTCAACGATAACGAATTGATTTTCTAGTGCTCTCTGATTTCCAGTGAGTCCCCAGGAGTGTTGTAATTTCGTAAGGAAAATTACTTCCAAGTTATGTCAAGGATAGAAATCCTCATAACTTCATCTAAAAACTAATCTCTAGTTTATTAAAAAAATAAATACTAACTTCTGTTATATCCCTATGAGTTGGGACGTTTTTTTGTTGGAGGGAAAATCTCTCTTCCATAGTATATGTGTAATATTCGTCACAGATTGATCTTACTTGGGATATCATTGAAGATCAGAATTCTCTTCTGTAGTGAATACTTACGATCATCAAGTCTCGTAACTAGCATTTAGTTCTTAGAATCACTAGGTTGGTGTGCAACAGCACATATTTTTAACTTCAATCGACTTGAAATTTAACGTAACTATCATCTAATACCATTGATCACGAGTTTTTTATTCCAGACACGTCTGAACTCCACTAACCCCATGATTTTTCAATAAGATTTCAGGAACACATCTCAAAGTAAACTATTAGCTAACTGAATATCAGAATTTAGATGAATGAATATCTTAGAGATTAATTTAACTTCCAAGTGAATATTGGTTATGGATTTTATATTAATTTTTTTGTAGATACTAGAATTTATTGAAAATTCATTGGGACGATCAAAGCGTATATCACAATTCTCCAAAGATTTTTTACAAAAACGTTCATTTCTTCATCAATAACAAATGATAATTTGTTTACTACTCAGTAAGTGTGTATGTTTATAAAATAGAAAATTTACTAATCTTTATCTGTTTGTGTTTATCACGGATTCAAAAAGCTCGTTTGGCTTTTGCCAAATTACGTCACCTATGGCGAAGACGAGATATTTGTCTATCGATTAAGGGACGAGTATACTGCGCGGCAGTTCGTTCCGTTCTACTTTACGGCTGCGAAATGTGGCCATTTAGAGTATAACGTACTCGTAAACTACTAGTATTTGATCACAGATGTATTAGAAATATTGCTCACATCTGCTGGGATCACCGGGTAAGTAATAGTGATGTTAGACGCAGGGTATTAGGAAATGATGGTACATCAATTGATGAGGTTGTGAATCTCCATCGACTGAGATGGTTGGGCCACGTATTGCATATGCCTGAACACCGATTACCACGACGTGCGATACTAACTAGTGTTGAGGATGGTTGGAAAAAAGTGGCAACAGTCATTGAAGTCACTAACTTCTAGTATGAGTCATGTTGTTAGATGCAGACTACTTGGTTGGGGTCCGTGTGTCTATCGTAACCAATGGTTGTAGACTCTTGGTGACATGGCTCAGAATCGGTCACAATGGTGTAGGTGTATCCATTCTTTGTCTTCCCTTAAACTGTGAAATCAAAATCGTTTCATATATTTCTTTCTACGAACTAATTTTCTCTTCCTGTACTATATCCTCACATAAAATCTTTCATCTTGTTGTGTTAAAGAATGAGTTATGGCAACTTGGTCCGATGCATATATATGCCTGGTTATATGTTGTAGCTGACTGATTTATATTTATTTGATGTACTCACAAATAACTATTGTATTTGGTTGATTCTATGATGAATCATTCATAGTAATATAAATCTAAATTAGTACATAATATAACAATCCTATGTATATTTATATGATAATGAACTTTTAACTCTCTACATTATGATTATATTAAAGTTAACATAATTCTAACTCTATTAAACTGTTGAAAATCCATTTATACATGAGTAAATTGTATGTAACACCACCGTGTTACCTTTCTGTCCCCCTCCCCTAAATAAAAAAAGATTTTCATGTTTACTACTTGTTATACTGTGTATTTGGCTTGGAAAAAAAAACCCACTCACTTCTGATATATTACCATTCTGTGTTGTTGTTGTTGTTGTTGTTGTTGTTTTATTACAAAAATATGGAACATAACTTTATTGTACTTATCATGCCATTACTACTATTAATTTAAATAGAAGTATAGAGCTATTAAAAAAATAATAAAAACCTGAAATGTCTCGATTAAATATTGTAATTTTACATTGTTTGATAGCACAATAGTAATCAATAACATATTTGGCTGATCATTCATGTAGATTTAATTCTATCAACTAAGTGATTTGGCATCGTATACATTGTTTTTATGTAGTAGTTGGCCGTTTGTCGATAGGTCAACCTATATGACTTCGGTTTCGTTCTAATTGACATTCATCAACATGGTATACCTAGGATGATAAAGAGACAGAGGCTCATTGTGTGATATGTTCCTTCATCATCTAGCTTCATAGTCTTAGAATTACTTTGTTACTTACTTCTCACCACCACTCGTGGAGGAGCATAGGCCGGTCACCAGCATTCTGCATCCAACTCTATCCTGAGCAATCCTTTCTAATTACCATTCATCCTTTTGAAGCTTTCTTCTAATTCTCGACACATTGTGTTCTTTGGCCTTTCTGTTTCCCATCAGGATTTTAAATTAGCGCTTACCTCGTGATGCAGTTTGATGACTTACACAATCTATGTCCTATACACCTCCAGCGTGTTTTCTTAATTTCCTCTTCAGATGGAAGCTGGTTAGATCTCTCCCACGTTAGATTGTTGTTGATGGTATCCAGTCAACGGACATTGAGTAACTTGCGTAAACAATTCTTTATAAATACTTGTACTTCCTTCGTAATGGTTGTGGTAGTTCTCCAATAGAACTGTATTGAAGATTCTAACTTTGGTGTTGACTGATAGTTATTTTGAGTTGCATATGTTCTTCAACTGTAGAAATACTGCCCTTACTTTGTCAATCCTTGCCTTTATATCTGCATCATATCTTCCTTGTTCATCGATGATGATGCTCAGATATGTGAGAGACTCCACCCGTTCCGCAGCTTCTCCATGAAGTAAGATTGAGTTGGTGTTCCCTGTGTTGTACTTGAGGATATTGGTCTTTCACTATGTATATTGTAGCCTACTGCTCCAGAGGCTGCTGCTGCTACACTGACTATTTTCACTTAGATTTGTTGGTGTATAGGGGGTAGGAGAGCTAGGTGATCAGCCAATTCCGAATCGTCTAGTTTCATATAATCCGTGTATTGTATTCCGTGCTTCCCATGAGATGTGGAAGTCTTCATGATCTAGTAGACCGCCACCAGGAGAAAGAGGGACGGTGAGAGTAGGTAACCTTGTCTGACACCGGTCGTCACTTGGAATGCATCTGTGAGCTGTCCTTCATACACGACTTTTCAGAGTAGTCCGTCATAAGAATTGATGAGTCAATTAAAGTTTATCCACATGTGTTGATAATCTTCTCAGGTACTCCATAGTATTGAAGATGGTTCCATAATGTTCTGTTATCAGTAGTGTCAGGTGCTTTCTCATAGTGAAGGAAGTTGATGAATAGTGCCGAGTTCCATTCAAATGACTGTTGAACAGCGATCCGTATTGTCGTGATTTAGTCGGTACATGATCGATTCGTACGAAATCCAGTCTATTGTTCTGAAATTTGGATAACATTCATTGTCATCCCTCCTTTACACAGCATCAGAACAATTCCCTTAGCGACTCTTGAAATGATTTTGATAAAGTAAAGCTGATTAATGTTTGGATCTACGGTTAAGATTAGGCATATGAATTAATTGTATCGGATTAATATTGTTCAGAGTTTATTTTAATATCGTAATTTTATCGTTACTATTTCAGATTACAGTTAAGTTATTGTTCAACAATAAAGTTACAACATGCTCTGTAGGGTTGCACGCTCCATAATTTTAAATACTAACTATGGTCGAGTTACTTTTAAAAAAAAATCGTATATCATAGTCCTCTATATTGTCTTATATCAATTTTAAGCCATTTAATGTTAACTCAGTCTTGATAGCTTTTACTTGTTGGGCAGATCCAGAAAACTCCTCGAAAAAAAAACTAAGACTCTGTAAATACTGAGAAGCATCCTATCCAATCTACGTTCACTAGAACTTTTGCCAGAAACATCAAAAAAGTGAAAAGTCACATGTCAGGTTTCTGATTCGATGATTTTCGGGAAACCCATGGACATCTAAAACATTATAAAAACCTCAGATTTTCTGTACAAAAAATGAACCTTTCGTATTCAAGTCGCTGTGTAGTTCTAGTCTGGAAGTTACTAGTGTTCAACTAACAAGACTTATCATTTAACTTTCAAAGAAATTTAACATTATTACATCCTAAAGTTCATACAATGATCTAGTAACTACTATTTTCAATTATAATCAGTATAAACTATCTTTTCATCAAATATTGTTATGTCTCATATCTCATACCTAATGTTTAAAAGTATAATATCTGTTCATTTTCATTACTATTCCGTTTATCTCTGTTGTTGGTCAAGAAAAAGAAAATTATCAACATGCTTATTATTATTAGTGTTTGTTTTTTATTTGTCTTCTTTCATAGATTCATTCAATTTCATATATGGAGAGATAATTAATAACAATCTACAATTGTTAATATTGTCTGTTGTCTGTTTTTTTTTCTTCATTGTATTTTCAAATTCTCATTATTTCTCTTAATCTATAAGTCATTCCCTCTTCTTGTTTCTAATAACATTCTGTTTTTCTTTTAATTATTGTCTTTTCTTTTATTTGATAAAATTTAAAATAGAATCACTTCTTATTATCATTCTCACTTCGTCGTCACCATCGCCGCCGCCGCCGTTGTCGTCGTCGTCACTCACTCACTCACTCATTCACTCACTCACTCACTCACTCGTACTCACTCATCTACTTACACATACACACATATGTGCGTGCATCATTCATTATTATTACTAATTTTATTTTTATTGATCTATTTCATAAAAGTTCCATATATATAGAAATTGGTTTCAACTTTTGTTTATCGAAGTTCTTTTTTTTGGGGGGGGGGGTAAAAAAACACTCGAATTTTTTCCTATTTATTTTTTATTGGGGAAAAAAAGTGCATTTCTTTTCTTTTTCTTTGTTTATTTCATTCATAAACAATAGTATGTAAAATCGTAATGTTTATGCGTCCACTTTAGTTAAAACCCACCGCAACCCATTCTCTCCCCCCCTTCCTATCTGTCTGTTTCTATATCTATCCATTTTAATTGTCGTATTATTTTTTTTGCTCTTTTTGCAATTCATAGTTACTCAATTTATATATATAAACATATGTGTACATAAGTTTCTTTTTTCTATTTAAAAAAAAAAGAATAATGACAACAATAATGATTCTTTTTTTCTTCTTTTAATGTGTTTGTGTTGGGATATTCAGGAAAATATCCCAAAAATTATCCTGTTAAGCCTAATGCTATCCTTGGACATGAAATGGTATCATCTTATTGGTCAATATTTATTTGACGTGTTATTTTCCTACTGGCCATTATTGTACAATGTTATCTTCTATTTTATGGTACGTTGTGGACTGCTTGAATGGTATATAAACAAAGCATGTTTGAAATATAATGATTCATAATTCCGAGGCTGAGACTTGTGTTCTGGACTCGATTGACTGGGCTAGACAGGGAAGCGAGACCAATCAGAACCCTAGGTCGTTCTACGTGTTTGCGCGTCCTTGGTCCGATCAATAATTCGCTATCCCTTAAGCAGCATTTATTATCTTCACAGTTATAACAGTTTGTCCGTTTGTGAAATAATTGCGCATAATTTTATTATTTGAATGAAAGGGTTTCTGTTTTGTTACTATCGGTTACATGCTGTAATTATTATTATTATTATTATTATTATTATTATTATTATTATTATTATTATTATTATTATTATTATTATTATTATTATTGTTATGACCTTTGATGTCTTGTTTTGCTATCACGCGACCTATCGACCAATCCGGATACGACTTATACGGATCTTTACACTAGGCCAACCAATGATGTTCAACCGGTGTGGGCAGTTTAGCGTCCTTATTGGTCCTATGTCCTACGAGCCCTTCCACTTGAGTCCAGAACACAATACCAGCTTCGAATCAGAGCAGATCGTTTATTTCAGGCATACTTGGTTTATATATCAATCACACAGACCTCAACGTACCATAAAATAGGAAATAATATTTGTACACAAATAAGCCCAAAAAGTGGCTGTGAATGTGGGAGGCAGTAGTTAATAAACTGAACATAACTTAAGAACCGTAAATCGTACAATAATAAATTATAGGCCAAAATAAAGCTTGTCATAAGAGGGATACAAATATACATAATGTAATTGTTGAATAGTTATACAATAAGAATATTTATAGAATATTAGTCCATGAATAGTCCTCGGAAGTTACCTGTAATTTAATCTCCACTCGGATATAACAATTATTATTATTATTATTTTCAGTTTAGGGGTTGTGAAGATTGTTAAGTTTTTGATTGAGATCATGAAACGATTGATGTTAGACCACCACAATTGAAAACCTGGAAGCACTGGATGATCGTTTCATCCTAATGTGGGACACCTTAGCAGTGCGTATCCACGATCCCGTTCGTGGGATGTGCAAATTGATTTTGACATCTGTTTTCGTTTATTCTAGTCTATTAAAAAAATATTAAGTAGTGTAATTGGTACTCATTGAAAATAAATTATAAAATTTAAAATATTTATATTAACGCACATAAAATATTATTTAATTACTTAGGTACGCCTGTTAATCCCAATGGAGCATAAGTCATCCACTAGCATTCTACAACACACTCTGTCCTCCACCTTCCTTTTCACTTCTATCCAATTGTTGTTCATTCTTCACATGTCTGTCGCCGTTCCTCGGCGAAATGTGTTCTTTGGTCTTCCTCTCCTCCTTTGGCCTTGAGGATTTGCCTTGTGATGCAGTTGGATGCTTTCCTCAATGTGTGTCCTATTCACTTCCAATGCTTCATCCTCATTTATTCCTACACTCGAACCTGGTTTGTTCTCTCCCACAACAGTAGGTTGTTGTTGTTAGTGTTTGGTCGACGGGTCTGAAGTATTTTGTGTGGACAACTGTTAATAAACACATGTATGTTCTGGATGATGGCTTTGGTAATTCTCCAAGTTTCCACCCCATACAGTAGAACTGTGTTGACATTTGTATTGAAAATTGTGACTTTGGTGTTGGTTAGCGGACAGTTGTTTTGAATTCCAGATGTTCTTCAATTGTTGATATGCTGCTCTTATCTTGCCGATCCACTCCTTCACATCTGCATCAGATCCACCATGTTCATCAATCATGCTGCTCAGATATGTAAAGGTTTTTACATCTTCCAAAGGTTCTCCATCAAGTGTGATTCGATTGGTTCATGTTGTGTTGTATTGGAGAATCTTGCTTTTCGTTTTGTGTATGTTGAGACCTACTTCTGATGAGGCTACTGCTACACTGGTCGTGTTCTCCTGCATTTGTTGTTGTTGTCCGTGTGTGTGTGTGTGATAGAAGAGCCAGATCATATGCGAAGTTTATTTATTGTTTTTCTTCCATTGGCTAACATTAGCAAACGTTTTCTGGTTTATTAAACTGCAAACTGATTATCATTGTCACAACAAATGATGTTACCTAAATTGTTAAGACTTCATTTCTACCAGAGACTACCCAGACGTCGATGCGTTCGCTTCTGTTTTTACTTTCATTAGATTGTGTGTGACTTTGGTTAGTACGTCGCACATAACATCTCGACCAAAAAGGTTATTACGAGAAATCTTGTGTGCAATTCTTTGTATATCAGTATAGGTTTGAAGAGATTACTGAATTTAAATAGGCCACGAACCTATCTGGAATCACTGGACGGTCGTTTTGTCTCAGTATGGGACTCTTTAGAAGTGCTCATCCATTATCCTGCAGCTATAAATCGAATTCAGGATCTTCAGTGGCTGGCTTACTTGGATTGGTTCGTGATCTGAATAAAACTCTCGATTTATTGAATAACCTTTAATAGTTGACCGAACAACATTTCTCCACGTTTCCATTGTAACATCAAACAAGCTTAATAACCTTACTTTTTAGCAAACTAGGAAATATATTTCCGTCATATTTATTTTACGCCCCCAAATGCCCTGTTATGGCCAAGGGTGAGGAGAGTCCGCTCTCCGTCTCGAAATACTCTTACATGTTCACGTGCATACAACCACTGCTAGGGAAATCATACTCACTGCCTTCTCGTGGCAGGTGTGTTGTTTACGAAATTAAGAGGATGAAAAACGAATGTACTATATTATCACAAGTAGAATTAACTTGGAAGCCTATTACTCTTTGGCTTGACAAATATGAAGTTTATCTTACACACGAATAACGATGATAGTACAGATTGTTATGATACCAAGTTAGTAAAGTTTGGGAGTCCATAAATAGTCCTCGATACAAACTTTAGAAGGTGAAAACGTTTTCATCTAATCAGCGTTAGATGAAAACCTCCAGGAAAATAAATGGTTGTGTTACATTCTGATTGAGTGATTGGCCATGTTGTCACTATATTTAGTACATTACCAAAAGACCAGTGTCACATAGAAAATTATAAATACACCCAGTATTTTTGTACCCAACCTTGGGTAAAGCTCTTACTCACATTTCACCCCTTTCCTCTATTCGAGTTGAATTATGGAAAGTAGTTCAGATCCATAGTAAGCGGCTGAAAAGTCAGTGATGACCATTCAAATGGCAGACTTATCAGTAAACAAAATGGAATCGGTTCAGTGAAGTAAATTTCTATTCTGACGATGTCATTTACTCAACCTACATTATCATATTAACAACTAATTTCCACATATTATCCCATGATTATGCGTTCATCATCTGAAAAAGTTACCAGGTATTGAACATAAATTCCGCAATAGTCTTAAACGTAATGAGAAATAATTATACATGGAAGTAAAAGATAACTGTCCACTTGATGAATATGAAGATGAGAACAAACAAGCGACCATAAAAACTTGTGAAATTCGAAAGGATGATAAAATAAAGTACTGGATATGTATCTTTTAAACATACAGATTAGGTTTAAATTGATGAATGGCTCAAGCCTCGGTCATTCACAAACTTGTGATTCCAACTTTCTTAGATCCTATTCCTTAAAATGTATAGGTGGCCCTGAAAGATGAATTCGCTAGCTATATGTGATCAGAGCTGACTGTGTGTCTAAGGGTTGACCTGTCAATTGATTTATAGTCATTCATGTTAGGGTGGATCGCCCATTTAGTCATAAACTTTTTAATAAAACTGAAACGTGGTTTGCGATGAATTCCAAGACTTGGATTTTGTCCTACTGGGTGTACTTGTATTTCAGTGTCAAGATCTAACTTTACCGAAGTATGTGCTAATTGTTATTAAAGCCAAGAAAAATAGTTTCCGAATTATAACACAGAACAGTGTTCCTCAGTTTGAAGAATCAATAAAACACTAAATAATCCTTCATATAAAAAAATATGTGGAGAGATTTGCTATTCATTAGAAAAAAAATTTGTATAATGATGCCTTTATTCATTGTTGAACACATGGTAACATGAGGCCAAAACCATGGTGATCTGATAATTATTGTTACAATGTTTAACAGTACGAAAATTTATTCTCACCAAATAATATATACCTATTGTACAGCATGATTATCCTACGCATAATAGATATTCTATATTGAAGATTGAATTGGTTTTGATGTAAAAAATCGATTGTTAATATTATTTATTCTGCGATTATTGATAGAATTGTTTCCAAGAATACCATTCAACTGAATGAAACTTAGTATGTTCACAATTGATTGATCACTGAGTGGCGATCAATATCATGCATGTCTAGTCCTTATTAGTGCAGATCGAATGCTATCGATCATGTTGCAATGTGGCCACCAGTCTAGGTGACTCGACACTGCGGGTACTATATATTGAGATTAGATGGTAGTTGAAGGTAGTCGACAGGAAACCCTGGACCCGGGTTTCGTGCTATTTGGCACTCGTCAGCAAGGTGTACCTGTAATCTTGGGGGAACTGGTGCTCCCTGGTGGATTCGATCCTGTGTCATCCAGCTTCACAGTTTCCTGTTGACTACCTCCAACCACCATCTAATCTCAATATATATTGCACACAGTGTCGCGTCACCTAGACCGTTGGCCACATGGCAACATGGTCGATAGCATTCAATCTGCACTAAACAAGGGCTTGACACACATGACGTTGATCACCACCCAGTGATCAATCAATTTTCTATACGTATGCCCAACAACTGACTGCCCCGACGTGCGATGTCTTAGTATGTTCACTTTCACATGTGTGTTTCATATCCAATGCGGTCATGATTGTTATAGTGAAGTTATATCATCACTAGTGAATACGATCAGTGTAACTATTCTGAATTATCACAGGTTGGCTTTGATTAGATAATCATTGAAAACTAGTACATACTAGATGGCTGTTCCGGAATGCATACCAATGCACATCTGTGAACCAATAGATGAAACCTAGAACTTTCAAACCTCCCTATGAGCACTTAACCTACAAAACACTGATTTGATATTGAATCGTTTATTTTTGTGGCGTCAGTCGATACACAATATTACATAGTCATCATTCGTTACGATTGGTGATATCCGTTTCATTCTTTATATTTCTAGCTTCCATTACTAATGTGCTTAAGTAACTGTATGGTGTTTTTGGTGAGACTAGAATTTATGAATGGCCTTGAGGATGCTCACCTACATACTAGGGTTGAATCAGGGTTAGAAATGAGTGTGATGAATTAGGATTAAGTTGGACGTTAGGACTAGCAATAAGATTGATTACTTTCATTAC